GTGTGGAGAAAGGAGTAAATTTTGTCTGCAAATCTCATCAACTGGACAAACCCCGACAACCACCCAACCGGCCGTCCCACCCAGATCCCAAAATATATTGAGGCGTCGAGGATTGTGGTGACTGTTGATGATCCAGAAGGTGAAAAAAAGTGGGAGCAGTGAAAAAGTAACAGTGATTGAAGAGTTTAGTTAACAACTCCACCAAAGTCCTAATGATTTTAAATGCATAGATTACAAAATATTTCAAAGTTGTGTTGTCAGTCCAAAGGGCACTTACTGGCCGGCTTTTGTCATCCTCAGCAGCAGGCTCGGCACACAAAAGACGGGAAGGAAGGGTTGTTTAAATGTTTGCATTTTGTACACGTAAGAAACAATGGAGTTGATATATGAACAAACTGTCTCTCATGTCAAGTCCTTTATCCGCAGGTCAATTGAGAGAGTGCCTCACTCCAGAAAGCACAATTAACATATATAGCTTTTCATACTCCAATAGTTTCATTCATTTTTATGCAATCGGCCCCTAGACTCCCCACACCCCGCATTCATGTGCATTATTTAATACTCGCGTGTGCCGCACTTGTGAAAATTCCATATCATTGCATTGCCCGGTGGCCCTCATCGTCAGCCCTCCCGGATTCCAACAATGAACTGGATCACGCACGGATTCCATTCACTCTCAAACATTGGTTTCGAGTTCACCACCACCAACCAACATGAGTCGACGTAGGGTGACTCGTCATAAAATAAAATTCCTCGCGCTATAAATAGTTTGCTATATCTGATGAGATTTACGTTGAATCACATAAATGGAGTGCACCGAAATTACAATCCTACCGGGTTATACTTGCTTTCCTTATCCATACCCAATGCTACTTACTTGCCCTTCCGCTCAACGTCCCACATTTAATTCTATGTAGTTGCACGTTCTGTGTATTTTGCAATAATTAAATGTCAGTCACCCGGAACGTGCCCTGAATAGGTCGTCATTACATACTTCCACTCTTTACGTTTATTCACGCTGATAATTTAAGAGACATCGACGGTACCCTTCTGGCAAAAGGCTTGTGCCTGATCGTCAGATATTGTTGTGGAAGGAGAGATATCAAAATGTAAACTTGCTCTACAGAATCCGTCCTTTGTAAAATTTCGTTTCAACGGCAAATCTCTTTGGCGAAAAACAAGGCGGATGACATTTACGACATTTCGCCACTAACTTATGACATGTTTCTATTATTTCAGCTCGTCCTGGTACAAATTTTAACGTTGGTGGTTAAGATAATAAAGTAGGAAATTCATTGTGCATGGGAGACAGCACAGACGGATGGGTGCGATGCTGCCATGCTGTTAAAATGAAGCGTGTGTGGAAAATAGTTGAGGGGCTTTCATCAATACACCGATGGATCATCAAACTCAATCCAGGAACCGTTCACTCTATTATTGGACGACTACTACTATGCGTTAATTCGCCCTCTGAGCATTATTTCATATCGTGTGAACAATCGGATTTACTGAGCACACCCTGTCATAAAACGAGGAAGATAAAAGGAGACAACGTAATAATAAGTGTGATTGACAAAAGCAGCTTATGCTTATGAATCCGTCGTATTTGTCACAGTTCTGTCACCCAGGCACAAATGGAAGGGTGGGTGCTTTCGTGTTTGGATCCCTGCTCTTTGTAAGCCTCACCCCACAATTGATCCTGCTTCAAATTCCACTACTACTGGAATGTCGGTTACAATAAGTCTGTAGGATCAATCCCGAGTTTGCTTACCGTATAAGGGTGGCAATCTTGCTGGTTTACAAGCCGGTTTATGTGGTTTTACATATACACGTATTTACTTTCCACTTGATGGAATCAAATTTTTAAGAACTTTTATTAAGTTCCGTATCAACTAATTGTCTGTAATATTTGTAACTCTACAGTGTAATGCATCGACAGGAATTTTATCATTTAATTTTCTTGCACCTACCATACAGACAAAAACTTGGAACATTACGAAAAGTGACATCACTCTGCGCATCCGGCCACGGATAAGATATTTAGATTGCTTTTGAATGATGAAATATAACAAAGTTCTTATAATACAACAGATTCTGAGTCGTATGTATATTACAAAGTTTATCAGGCACAAGACATGCATTGATATAAAAAGTAGTGCGCACCCTTTGACGCAAAATTCAAAGCTATGTATTGCATTTCAGCTTATCTCCTGCAGTGTAATTCAATTTATCAACCGCCACGCCAAACAACTAACGTTTCGCAAGGTTTTTTTCCATAATCAATTCCCATAACCGATAACTAGAATGCGCGTCTGTCTGTCTTGATTGCCAAATATATGTACAAAAGATAGAGGACCCTCACCACTCTGAGAACTCTGAAGAACACCATTTTCCTTATTGATATAGAAGACTTAATTGATAAAAATTTTCTGAATAAAAGAGAAAGATTATGATCAACCATGGTCGTTTATTACGCAAAGTGTTACAAAGCTCATTGAATGAGATAGTAAAAGAGCCAAGAGCTGACCCTTTGTTGTGAAGAATAAAAATGACGGTGAATAAGTTGGAGTTGCACAATGTGAAACTGGATAAATTGAGGAATACGTCTCGATCTAAAGAAAGCAAAACTGGTTTCTCTTTGTTCATCCTCCTGAGCTAGTCGGGATGCGAATGTCTCCTATTTATGTAGATTTTATTTCTGAGGACTATTAGTTTTCCTCATCTCGCCGTCCTCTCTCCGTCCAATCAACAACTCTGGCCTTTCAAGAATATTAAATTGCACCACTCTCTCTGCAACCCAGCCGGACTTGTCGGATCTGCTGGAGGAGACTTTCTTTCCCATGGACTGACGGTAAATATGGTATTTTGTTACATCACGGACCAGCGGTGATGTCACAACGTCATCTTCACAGCTCTTATACATACATACATACGTACACATATGAACCCATGAGACTTTCACATTAATCATCGTTACAAAACCTAAAAATTTATTACGGAACTTTTCCGAAGTAGTAAAAACCTGTTTTCTCTGCTGGATACAAGAATACGGGTACAAAAAAGCAGACTCACTCACTTGCTTACATCCAGCAGTTCTATTCACCGTTTCGCAACACAAACAACTAATTAAAAAATTACAATCACTCGAATGAAATGTGGGAAAGTACATAAACGTATTAAAGACCAAAAGTGCTTGTTCTTCATTCACAATGATAAAAATCGACACATCTTTTGTCACTCGACAGCATTCTTTCTTTATTGCTTATGTAGAATACGGAATGTAATCGTTCCGTATTCCACCGTTGATTGCAATTGAATCAAGAATTGGACGATTTAAAAAATTGGCTTTGTGCAACTGGTGGTGCTTATTGTATCTCCTTCCTTTATGCTAATGCGTTTTGAGCATTAAAGACATTTTGAAATCCAATATGTAACGGTCAAGCTTTCATTTTAATTGTCGAGTAAAAAAATATTTTCAAAGGGAAGGAAATCTTTCCATGCTCTACACATGAATACTTAGAAGTTGTAAGTAACACAACGCATTTTCAATTCGGTACGTATTTAGTAGCAATGTTATTTTTTACATACAATTAATGCTACCTGCGGAATCTTGCTCAACTTAATATTTATATATGTATGCACAGATTTGCATTTGTGCCTTTGCAAAATCGATCCAGGAAGCGAGCAGTAGTGGTTAACGAGCAGTTAACTTTTGTGCCTCATTGCATTGATGATTGTAATTCCAGACGAACCCTGTTATGCATTCATAGGCAACCTGAGATCGGATGTGATGTGTTGATGAGAATTAAACGGTGAAGTGAGCTATCCATAATAATTACTACGGACAGATTCCTTGACATTGGGTACACTCTCGAGTCAACACCAATTTATATTCATTTGAATGACTCCTTTTAAGATGGCTACTTCACTTTGGTACTTCCCGAAGCATGATAAGATTCTTTTAAGCCGTGCATTCGTGAGAGAGGAAAAGAAACCGATTTGTTCATAAATAGTTGGATATTTTTACTATTTAGCAACAATGTGAGCATGCATGAAGCTTAATTCCCCAGTTCGGGGTTGAATAAAAGTACGTAAAAGACTATGCAGAGCACTGATCAGATTTTGTACGGGATATGAAATGAATGTTGATTTTTGAGACAATGTGAGAGAAAGAGGGGACAAATAAAAGGGTTGCATGCATGCATGCAAGACAGTAATAACAGAGGATTCTAATGCAAATAGAGTCATTAGCAAAAGTACTTAAGGAAGGACCTGGCCTGCATTCATTGAGGGACTCAAAGCATCCTGAGTACTGTTGGAATCAGATAAGGGAAAGAAAAGTTAAGGAGCAAAACAATGGGCTTGAATGGAAGGGGTCTTACGCATACGATAAGCTTACAATGTAAAGATCACTGTGCATAAAATTATTCTTTTGCGTGTTAAATACTTCCACCACGACCTGAATTGCTTCTAAGTAATTTCTCCAAATAGCCGTTGGTTGGTTTTATTTAGATAATATTGTTGCATACATATGCGGCTATTTTTTATGCACGATATTTCACTAGACAGTAATCCCTTAAGAAAAGGTTTTGGTCAATGTATCACTTATTTGCCCAACACGTAATATTTATTTCTATTCTATTTATAATTGAGATCGTTATAAAAGGAAAGTCAGGCCAGCAAAGTCGATTCTTTGGACTTTCTTTCATGTATGTGACCCAGTTCCCATTATTTTGTTCAATCAGATTTTTACCAATTACAAGACTATGCTTGCATGAGTGGCTAAACATTGTTGCTAGAAACTTGAAATCAGGATTGGCTACGTTACAGCTAATTATGTCTTATTGTATTGTTGTTGTGATCGAATCTTAAGCTGACATGTGCCCAGTCAACGAGTGCGTGGGTGAAAGCTCGTGCATTTTCTTTTAGATCTTCCATATCAACAATGCTAACTCTTAGTTTAGGTCAAGAGAAAGGGTAAATTAAGAAATGGGTCCTACCTGCGTGGAAGAGAATATCCAAGTAATCCGCTTAGCTTTCTCCCTTTACTAAAGGCAATTGTGGCTGAACGTCGCATAAAGTTTCCAGGAGTCCTATTTTTTCCCAAGTCGGGAGTGGCTGGAGTACTGATTGTGCTACTTGGTTGCCGTCTCGTCTCAATCTCCTCTTCATCCTCAGCATAGTGAAATTGGATGCTAGGCACTGAACCGAACCTGTTTTTTCTGTGGGTTTGAATCGGCGTTGATGTTACGGATGAAGATGTTGCAGCTGTCAGGATTTCACCCACACTTTTCCGTCCACCACGGTAGCCAAACAGATGAAAATTAGTTTTAGGAAAGTCGGAAGGACGTCTCGTCACACCTGCCAACCTGTCACATCCAACCGAACTCGTAGTCTGGCTTTTGGCAATCAAGAAGTTGACCCGAGGGGGTGATTCGCGACGTGCAAATAATGGGGTACAAGGTGGTGACGAAATCACAGGATCATCACGTGCAGTACCAGCGTTATTGCGATGGTTGAAAACCAATTTATTATTGTTGACGCATGTTTTATTGGATACGATGGGGGAAGAAGAAAGGTGTTGGAGGCTGTGGGTGGCGATTTTCACGTCATTCTGAACAGTGGGGTCGGGCTGATTGCTTATAAACATGAAATCTCTATCCTCACTACAACTACTTGTGCAGTTGAGTCGGTGGAGAAAGTCTTTGCTCTTCCGTGGAGACTTGAGCTCCACCACGGAGCATTTTAGAGAATTTGATCTACATCTCGGTGCGATGGGAGAAATCTCAGAGTTATTGTTCCGAAAGGTCACACGAGAACATTCTGGCGACTCGGCGTAGCGACATATTTTATGCGAAAGCTGGGAGGAATCTGAATTACTCGAGTTCATTTTCGGTAAAAGTCGCCTGAAGGTATTGTTCAAACTGGGTCTTCGATTTGGGTAGAGTTGATTGTTCTGTTGAGATATTGCACGATTAATTGGCGTCGAAGTACAGGGACGATTCGTACCACTGGATTGGCTGAAGCTGTACGATCGTGTTTTATGAACGGCATAAGCTTCGTTATCCTCTTCCATGGGACCATCCACTTGAATCTCATTGACTGGATTGTACTCCACGTCTTCCTCTTCGTTAAAATATAGAGACCCATTCTCACCATGTCCCACAGATAAGAATCGGTGCAGACCGGTTGACTGACGTCGATTAGAATTCATTGTGACTTTATCCGTTTGTATCTGAATTTGAATATTCTGTCACCTCCATTAACACGATAGGTGTGATAAATTCTCTCTCCTGTGGGATCGTAAATTCTTCTCCAATGAGGCAAATAAAAATAATTGCAGGACTTTTCAATGACACCCACAGCACACAAATAATATAGTTTTATAGTTTTGTACAGAAAGTCCGTTTTCACAATGTGTTACGTCACAATAACTATTTCTGTGCACTTTGTACGATTATTTACATGGAGCTTGATCACAAGTATGTGCGTGGAACAAGGAGCTGTTGAGATTTTATCTGACCAAAGCATACTGAAACTGCAGGATGTATGCACATACATAGATGCAACTCGGACCAATTGTTTTGAAAATATGAGTGTGTACACAAGTTGCAATATTTTTAAGGAAGTAATTGCAAGTTTTGCATGTATGCAGATAGGCACTATGCTAACTACTCACTCCTTTACCTGAATTTGTGACTTAGTTAGTAGTGGCAACTCGTTTGATTAGTTTGTTGGATACTTTAATTTAATTCAATTAAAGATCGTGTATGTACAACTTTGAAATTTTGAATGTGCACTCTGTCTTGTTTTCACAAAGGTAATGGGCTTAAGGATTGGTTTTAAATGATCCCCCGCCGAGAGCAATGAAAGAAACACTTTTTAATCTTTTTTATTAAATTATGCATTTTAAAATTCAGCATTCTTCCCAAAGTCAGAACCCACTCATCTCTTTGGCAGGTTTAGAATTTCCCCAGAGGAAATGGCTAAAGATTAAATTGCTCACTATCATGCGTACGTTTGTATGCTCTCTCTGCCTCACTCTCGCTCGTCTTCTCGGAATACTTAAGATTCTTATTTAATTTGATGGTTGGCAATTACTCCACCGCTTAATAAATCTCAACTTGATTACGGGAATTAAAATTCAACTCGAATGATTGTTCGTGATTCCAATATATTGAGTTTCTTCTCTCAGTTAAAATTTGCATAAAATAAAAAAAATCATGTAAACTATAAAACGAGTGCCACGACATTTGAAGATATTGCAAATTTACTGGTCACAAGTCAAGTCGGTCACTAAACCATCACCACCACTTTAGAGTAATTTGCAATTATTTAAAAAATCCTTGTTTTAAAAATATGATAAATAACCACTTTCTGTTATTACTTCAAACCCATTAACATCAAAAGGATTTTGGCACCAAGTGACCCCGAAAGATGAAGATGACACTTTTCACTTTTTTTTTCATTTACTACAAGAGGAGCGAGTAGTAAATGGATGGCAGAAGAAAAGGAAAGGGCCGGCCAATTCACTGACGCGACACTGTAGCAGCAGGTGACTGATAAAGTGAGACTTCAATTTCCAGGGTTGGTACATATAATACTGGTGCTTATTTTCTTAAGGAGACGACTCATTACACGAGGTAAATGTTGTTTTCTGTGTGTTTTTGGGTGCAGAGGAGGCCATGAATCCTGACATACGGGGAGTCAAAGAAGAACTGAATAAAAAGCAGATGTATCTAAACTCCACGTTCGTTTGAAACCTGGTTCATGCACCAGCATACATATTTTTCAGTAACCCTCCGTTGTCCCGTGCCTTCCATCTCATTCATCCACTTTTTCATTATGTAACTTTAGCAGAGGATTTATTTATGTGTTGGCATGAATGAGGTCCCATTCTCCAACGCTATAAACGAACACGTACCTAAACAGCCATTCTCATCCCAGTGGGACCTTGCACTCAGGAAGGAAGGAATTGGGATGCTCACCAGTTCAGAGAGCCATTCAAAAGGTATAATAATAGTGATAATGCATAAGAGTTGGTTTGACTGGCGAGGTTATTTTAACGCCATGATCCACATATGCGAGACCTTTAGAGATGGACAATAATAATGTTCATGTTGCTGGACATAAAATTGAAGTTGTGTCGTTTTTGTCACCGCTTTGATGTCCCACAAAATTAATTGCCTAGAAGTCATTGACACTTTATAGATTTTTTTATTTTCTAACCCTTTCTTTGTATTTTAAATTCTAATGGAGGAAAAGAGTTGAATTTATTATACATGAGGTACAAATTACGTTCTACACACATGTCGTCGTTCCGAGTCATTTCGTTCAACAAAAGTTTGAAATGGAATTATTGAAAAATGTGCACAATTGTCCATTTCGTTTACGAGCAACAAAGTTACTTTATATCAACTACTGTATGAGGGGGTTGCGCATTTCTTCAGAAGCTTAAAGAAAACTTTATTTTTTATTTTTGTGGAAATGAACCAAATAAACGGATGAACGGATTTTGGCCAAGAATATACTTCCGGTTTCTTTTATGTTGTGTACTTATTGCTCGCTTTGCAATAAACTTGACTTAAATAAACGCGACTTTAGAGATGAAAGCACGATATTTCCGTCGTCACCCGTATTCAAGTTTGCAGCTGGATCTGCAATGTTTCCGTAAATATATACATCCTAAGACATAGTGCTACTTAAACTTAACCAATGTGTCAGCAACAAGGGAAATAATCCATTACTTATTTACTCCCACCGCAGATTTGGCTTCCGAGACTCGAGTTAATTTAAATCTCGGTAAACATTGCATATCTTTCTAATCTGACCCGTAGGCTGAAGTTGTAGGTTAAACATTCCATTCAATGATTCAAGAGTTCTTTAAAGCGCAGAAAATATGCATGAAAATATTGGAGAATGGATAAATTTCAAGGAATTCTATAACGCGAATTTCACAGCGAAATACCAGAAGGATTAACTTTTTTAGCACTTAATAAAACACAGGACAAACAATGAAATGTTACATTGCGTGCAATTCTACTGCATATACTGGTTTAATTTTACATAGACAAGGTGAATCTACAATTTCGCTCCAAAATGTTACGCCCCATTAATTTTGAACTCCCATTTCTATCTGGATCTGATTTTTGAATTGAATATGAAAGTGCGATACCCGTATTGAATTCAATCCTGAATGCAGGTCATTAAAATCAATTCAGTTTTAGCATTCCGTATCCACACAGATGCCCATTTTCATGGATATGCATTTTCGGCATGAAGATTCATCGGGTTGTTTTGGTTATCCAAAGGAAAAATTCATTCAGCCAATCGGCACATACATAAGCATATCATGTGTGTCTACATATGGGTGGTACATAATAATGAATGCATACAGACTATTAAAAGTAGAGTCCGATTCACTGAATCCACATTCAAATCGAATTGTGTCCGCCACACGAAAATTGTGGGTGAAATAAACACGCACTTTAGAGTGGAAGGTGATAGTGAGTGGAGGGAGGAGTCTGAGTCTGAGCTGGATAACCGCCACCAAAAATTTCGAATCAGTGAATCCAACTCTCCTTTTATACAGTTCTATTATGCAATGTATAATATGCATACACATTATTATGTATCTGTAAATATGTAGTACCATTAGAATGAACGGGACGCCGGAAAATTAATGACCAAATCCCTCATTGCAATGGATTTGCCTTTTCTCCAGTGTTCTGATGAGTAAAATTACGGTTTTTTAATTTCTGATGGAATTTCTGATTCCCTCAGTCAATGTAGCAGAAGAGCGTGTATCCAGTCCAGGACTGTCAGTCGATAATATATATTTCTACTTGCAGAGCAAATAATCGTTTATACATACAACATGCTAATTCATTTTTTATACGGGCTACCGAACAGAATGGCTTATCAAAGGTATTGCGAAGGGATTACTAGATTCAAGCTCAATTGCACGACGATAATGGAGTTTTGATCCTTCACATGTCCAACAAATGCAGAAAAGTTTTAACGCACTCATGTGTACGAGGTAAAAGTAAGGAAATGTGACAGTTTTTTGGAACTAACGATTTTTGTTAATTTGACAGATTGACAAGAAACAATAATCAGGGAATCGTTTATTCCATCATTGCGCTGTTTATATACAGATATAGATACGCATATACTTTAGTTCAGTTTAAATGTTGTGATATAAGAGTATAAGGATTCAATTGCATGTATTGCTATTATACAACCGTTGTTCGTCGAGATTTTAGTGCTTGGCTAATTCTGTCAAACGTTGGAAAGCAACCAACCCAAAATACGATTAATGACATTGTCCTCTCGAAAGGGATACAAGCTTTTGTTCGGAGGGAACGAAGGCCAACCTCATCTTCGCAATCAACTTTTTATGAGAAGGGTTCAATTCATGATGCACTAACTCTGGGATGAATGGTTGGTAATCTCCTCTCCTGGCTAAAGATAAACTACACGGATATCAAACTTGAATAAGCGACAAAACTGCAAAGAGTGGAATTTCCTGATTTTTGGAATGTAGAATTTATTGCCATCAACGCGTTTGAAAGAGTTCTTTATTTGTACGACAACAACAGACAGACCAGCGGCGACCGTGTGTGCACAAATGCATATGTGGTGCTGTGCTGCCCTTCAGAGAAATCAATGATTTTTAATGCATTTTTACCAATAAAATGAAAGCAACTGCCACTTCATAGAGCATTCAGTGGTCGTACTGTTGGTCATCACAAATAAACCTCTGCGTGTTAGAAAAGAATGAGAGCTCGGAAGAAGGAGTTGATCTGCAATTCAACCCGTTGTTGGTCTTCATTCATCCCTTTCATCTATGTGTAAATGTAGGCATGCACTCATGCAGTGAAATGAAATATGTATGTATGTATGTACTTGGGTATTATCTGGTACATCCAATGGACGAGGTTTACCGAGGGCTACCAGATTAAGTTGCATTATAATTGAAACTCTGCGACATTGAATATGAACTTAAATTAATGAAAGCTAAATATGTAACGCAAGTAAATACATACAAGATGTGCACGTGCATAAGTAAATCATAAATCTATAAATTAATAGTATTTCAAGCGTAGTAAGAGGCTAAATAATACTTAATATTGACAAAAGGTTTACTAAATTTTTCACTCACGATTCATGTATTTATGCATGTGTGTGGCTGCAGTTAAATATTTATGCAAAGTTACAATGCTTATTTAATGATCAACAATGACCAATATAATTTAAATATTAACCCGTAAACTATTCCGTTTATTTAGCTCGACTCGACACCATTGACCATTGTGAAACACTAATAAATACACAAAAACCACTTTCCATAGACCGAGGATGGCTAGGATGTCAAATGAGCAAAAGTGAGTGCTGATTTGACGACAGGTTTACGAACACAACAATTAACATAAGATTATAAATTATCGACAGACTCACTTTGCACGCCAACTTGTATTACTACAAAGATATTCACGCACCATGGGTTAAACAGAGGGACCACATATTTATGTTTATATGTACATACTTTCTAATCTTTACAAGATTATCGGTGTCGGGATCTCACCCACCATTTGCACGCAAAAACACAACTTTGTACACGTCACCCATGTGTCAATGTCACTTTTGATATACTCATGGAAGAAAAACTTGATCATTTCAAATGTACAAATAAAAGCTTTTTCAAAAGTATAAAATATTTTATTATTCATCTCTGAATAAGAACGTTGTCAATGACCCGATTTTTCGAATTTGTGAGAGAAACTCCTATAAAATGTAATTGTGTCATCTACTGCATTGGACGTGTTGGAAATTATTGTTAACCTTCTGGATCCGTTTCATTGATTGATGTGCTCTTGTAACACAAAATTTGAACTCTCAGAAATTCATTTGTTTAAGGCTATGGAGCTATTGTAATGTTATATTGTATACGATGAGAATATTGCTGGATTTCAGAGAAAGATAGTGAAACAGTTAATTCGTTACAATCATTGACTAGATTATTTGATGATTGATTGATTGGATGTCAAAATTCGAAATGTTCATGGTAATTTGTGCAGTTCTACATATTAACTCGATGGAATTGACACAATTTCTTAAAACTTTACGGATCAAAATCTAGGCAAAACAAAACTACGTACTTGAGCTACAGTAGTTTTGTTAAATTTGGCCTTAAATTACAAACCATTGTTTTCGGAATAATAAAGAATTATGATTAATTAGACAATTCAATTGATCTCGATCCTTCTGTTGCAATATACTAACAATAATAATCAAGGTCTATGTATGGCACTAGGGCAATGATAAGAGTACAAATAATAATGCACAGAAATTGATACACCAACATTACCAAATTAAATCATATTGAAACAGTACATATGTAAATTAAGGAAAGTATAGCCATTTCATTGTCACATGTAAAACTGGGAAACATCACAACGTATACATTCTAATTTCAACATGTTTCTAAAAGTTTGTTTCTAGTTTACAAACAATTTATTATGATATTTACAATTAGTCCCTCTAAAAATACTGCTGAAGAAACGACGATTGTGGTCTTGAATTTTGCGTGATTTCTTAAAGTTGACCATTTGTTTTGCATGGTAGCACTCGTTTACAATTTCCGATGAGAATTCTAGAAATTCAAAAATCGAATATGACGTCATTATTTCGAGATTAACAATGCATGCCAAGTAGGAGCGAAGAAAATCGAAAGATTCGAAGACATCCGAATCTTTGTATAATTGGAATGATCATTGGGAATTGAATGTTCCCAAGACTGGACACGGTCGCCTCTGACGCCGTCGTGGCTTTATTTGAGTCGTCGATCGCGACTTCTTCGGATGGGTTCGTGCCAGAAGTCTTTGCTGGGGTTGACTGTGGTGTCTTTTTGGGACTGTTGGCTGCGAGCTGAGTGCTTGGGTGTGCCATTGCGAATCCGATTCAATTTCTCTACAAAAGTCGGAAACAATTAAGACTTTACCCATGATACATGAATTCAATTTTGCACATGCATATGTACACATAGAATAGAATTTAAATGAAAGCATTACAGGAATTTGACATATGCAAATATAATTAAGTATAAGATCATCACAGGCAGAAAGCATTCAATGAAAATTACAAGTGCAAAAGCATAGAAAATTTTGTTTTTTATTGTGTATGTAGTATGTCAACACACGACCACTGACTTTTGATCGCTGAATAATTATTCATTCATTAAGCTAGGGCGGAAGGACTGATGAGTTAATCGGAGTTATTTACATACATTAAAACAAGGTACATAAACACAAACAATGAGAACCCGGTGCCAAACTTCCTGATGATTTTGACGATCCGTTGGATTTATTCCGGATCCGAAGTTTGCAATGCGCAGACCTAAATCCTCGCACAATAACATTATGAAGTCGGATGCGGAGTTAACCAATTCTCTTTCTTCGTACAAGAAATTTTATGACTTCCTTTTTGCCATGAACTTGTTCTCCAGTACACTCAAGCATGCCTCAAATTTCCCAACGTCTGCTCTTTTTTTACAACGGTGTGCTGTCCACTCTTTGACAAAGCATCGAAATACCCAATGGCCAGGAACGCCTAATTCCCACTACAACTTTTGGACCGGAGCCTGAATTCCTATTATGAAAGGGATTCCCCAAAAAGTCGTCTGAGGAAATTCTCTCCCAAAATAATTCTTCTCCAAATAATCCCCCTTTAATCCACGACCGACAAAACATTTTACAAGTACAAGATTCTAGAATGTACTGAACGTTGATCTCGAAAAGGTTGACTAATCCACTGGCCCGTAAATTCCTGCATTGCATGTTTATGTTAGGATTTTATGTACATGCAGTGTGGCCTTTTAATGTCAACTTCCTCTTTTTAGTGGGAGTATTTATTATGAAGTTCAATCTGCACAAATTTCCTTTGTTCAGCATAAATGTTAGTACGTATTGACGAGTGAGGTGACATTTGCGGTTTCAGTCAGGACCCCAACATATTTAAATAGGGGATGTTACATGCATACATATGCTAAAAGGACAATTAACCATTAACCCGATCTCCCAACTCCAATGGTTGGTTGTAAAGTTGAAACATCTAACATTTCACTGCTATGTACACACAAATACAAGATTTTACTGCATTCCGAATGACATTTTAACCAACGAAGGGTTTTAAATTTGGAATGTAAATGAACATACTCAAACAAACTTTTTATTTTTCTGAAGTTCTCAAGCATAAAAATTAATGAACCTTTTGCAAATCCAAACCTGAACCATTTGCTTGCTACCATTTAGACTACATGTAAAAACATGTAAAGAATTTCCAGAAATGTTGTCCAGCACCAGGTTGAAAGGAAAGAAATTCAAAACTAAGATTAGGAGATGGCAAAATACGACCTAAAATAAAAGAGTTTTGTTGAAGATTAGTATGACTCATTTTTATGCTTTCATAACCGTTGAGCAAGAAGTCAGGTTAGCTGTATTAGCTGAAGTTGCGGCCAAATTTGACTTGATTTATCAAGACTAAACTCATATTCAAATAAAAAAAATTGTTGGAATTCGATTCTATACAAATTCATCGTGTTGTTTGCTGGGCAGGGCCAATTTATCTCTTGTATGGAATATCTAAAGAAAAATGAGAATCCGCCCACGCAGATGTCCGCAGAGACTTTGAGATGCATAGATAGTTAATAAAGCAAATGCCACTTTTACTCCCATGAGGAACTCCCTAGTTAAATATACTCTTTCCTTCGTAGGAGGTAACATCAGAGATATGAGCTACAGATCCACTACCAGTATTGCTACTTCATAGTTCATATCAGCCCAGCTCCTCTAACGCATATTTATGCTATCTAATAACGTGCTGTTAAATGACACAGAGGCTGAAAGTGAAGTCATGTCGATGTCATTTTCATGAAAAATGATTTCCAAATGATCCTTCGCATGACTTTCGCATATTTTAATAAATTTGCCCGAAACAAAACAATATTTCCTCTCCTGTCACTCAACCCTAAATTTTGCTGCATATGACAAAATGCTAACAGTTCTCTCTAATGTACCAATATTACCGCTTCTGATGAGTGAATGTAACTGAAAGGCTGGTTGTTTCCATATGCATGTGTATTTGGATGTCTGTACAAGTCAGCGAATGTACGTGGCAGCCTAAACAAGATGATCCTTCCCGTATTTATTTATTCAATAATTTTGTTTTCACGCAAAAAGGCTATAAATATCATTTTATGGCTCACTCGTTACGGTATGTAATATCATTTTGGAGATTTCCGAAGTCATGAAAAGATGGACAACCCTCAAATCTCTTGGTCTCGAGGGGAACATAACCTAATGTAAGTGGGGTCGTAAAAGTAAAGTTTGTTTTATCGGCACGCGTGCAGACATATCCACAATTTATTTGCATTATCAAAGGGTTCATATAGTATCTTAACACGAATGAGCGAAGAAAAACAATGCCCAAACTACAACCCATCCATCAAAAATGTACAACCACATACTGGAGTTATCGTACATAGCAAAAAGCTAAAATGCGATCAAAATGGTTTAGTGACAAGCCTGCTTCTGACTTAGTAGACGGCATGGGAAAAGAAACATTACAATTTGAGTCGTTTATTGGAAAAATATGCAGTTCTGAAATTATTCACAAATGGACGGAAATCTTCCCTTTAGAAATTACATTTCTAAGTAGTATATACATTCATTATTCATTTATTCTCAAATGTGGTCGTTTCTCAAAATTATGTACATAAGCCAATACACATAAACCCATTTAATTTTGACAAGACCAAGTTCAGAGAATGTTTATGCACCTACAACGTACTGATAATTGGACATTCCAAATTCCCCTAACAGGCTAATATCTTATCATTTCTTGAGAAATAAATCCTTACACAGGAGATTAGTAAAGGATAAAGGAAAATTTACCGTGAGCAGATGATACGATTCGTCGTGTAAAACTTTACCAGCAATGCGAAACTCTGGAATCGTTATCGCAGTACATGTACATCTGCATGTCCTGTATGATCTTATACAAATTATCCCTTGTTTAATTGTTTGTAGGGAACTGCACTCTTTAACCTCTTGGTCAAGTCATTAGCGAAGGAGATTATGCAACAGCACTAGCTAAACTCGTTCCAACTCCAACCGTGCTAATTACTTAGTGATGATTACTCGTTATGAAATAACTACTCAATGCCAAGGAATGGAATCCCATAAAAAAACAGTGGTTGCATTACCGCTTATAAATTGCAAAATACCAAAACTTCAATACATACTTAATTCCGTCATCAACTCTTTTCTCAAAGTTTATGCCTGCTTGTGCTTCATTCAAGGATGAACTATCAGCATAAATTTTACATATCTACGTCGACAAAGGTACTCTTCAAGCATCAGCAACTGCTCTTTAATTGGAAGATGACCACATCTCATTCCAAGAAGCAGGTAAATAAAGCAAGTCTCATTTAGGCAACGTGTCATAATAGCTAACACTAACACACATTATGCCCATAATCATGCTTAAAGCTGTACTTAATCCAAGGACAAATATTAAAACCATCCCACAGCACACACAGCACGTAAAGCCCGACTTGTAATTGCATCTACGTTTATAGCTTTTTATTGGGCAAAGACTAAGCTACCAAGTTGAACTTACCAGTGTCAATACTGCTTTGAAAAGCGGCGTCTTCTTTGGCGATGAGATGGAATGAATGAATGAATGGATTGTCAAATTAAGTGTATTTTAGCAACTGCAGGATTGAATTGCACACTGTTGGGAAGTGGAAGCAAGGTGTGTTTGCAGTGGAGCTGGTTGGATTGAGACTGAGCAGTTCGCTCGTATCGACTCGCCCTTCGCCTCGCTCTTCTTCTCTGATGGAGCTGCTTTTATTCACTCCCGATATTGCTTCCCACTGAAAAGGCTGGAAATGCGATGTGATGTAATGCTATGCTTCGTATATGTATTACGCTATATGAAAAAGTGGAGTATTCGCTGAACGAATCCTTCCTTTCTCTCCTATTACTTCTTAAAACTCTGGTTTTGTCGCTGTGTGGCCTTATCCTTGGTAGTTCAGTGGTAATTCAGAAAAGAGAACAACCACAGGCACTGCGGTTTTGGTTTATTTATCTCTTATTACAAGGCGGTTTATGGGAGCAGTAATCGTGTACATAAACTTGAGCAACCCAAAAATTGGTATATTTAAATTACTTATTATTACGACGATGTGGATGTGGTGTTATATCCAAATTGAATCATTGCCAGTTTAAGAGGAAGAAGCAATCTAATAACACAAAAGTCAGGGATGCATGACGGATATGGTTTTAATTCATTCCTTTTTTATGTTGGGTGCTGGATTAAAGAGATTTTATAATGCAATTAGATGAAGAAAAGATCAAAACTTTACCACTTATTTATTTATGTGTGTACCGGTATGCGTATGTGATATAAGACGCCCATACTTTCTTTCTACTCTGTCCAGAATATTTTTTTCGCCCAAATGGTTATGCTGCTTTCTTCATGTGAGCTGAAATGGTAGCGAAGTGCGTCGCTGGTTTCATGGGCAGTGTGATGGGTATTTGCACACGCTCACTTTCTTCTCACTTTCACTCTTCGTTTCATTCAGCATCCGGCGAGTTCAGTGGTGGTAACGACCAGCCATAAGTTACAACGTACATCCCAGATCCCGGGATGACTTTGCCTGGTCCCAACTTTTCCTCTTGCGTGATGCTGCTGCTCTTCGTTCCCAGGTTGTCTGACGCGGTTGCGTTGGCCAAATAAACCGACTTCCGTTTACTGCTTCTACATATGCACTTCTTCGGAGGATCTCTGTCCTGGTCGTAAAGTCGGGAAATAAATTCAACAACGTCCGTTTTACTGGGACAATGATCACTTTGGCTTGAATGCTATTCATTTGCATTTGTGGATCTGAGGTAAAGCCTTCTCAGTTAGAGTTAATATAAAGTGAGGCCTTAGGCTCAATATTTTAGATTGTGCATATGACCAGAAAATCATATCATGCGTATAATTTAAAAGTCACAACACATAATAGAAAGCATGTGAGTGCAATTTAAGATTTGGTATATCAGGACAGAATACGACAGGTAGATCTACTCGGCTATGCCAAGCTCGGCTATGGTCTGCTGAATGAAGATAAACTAAACCCTAAAAAGGAAAGCTTAGATGAGACAAACAAGTGCGATGAAAAGTACTAAATAAATTTTTTCTTCTGTGAATGATATAGAATTTTCATATTTCCAGCACCAGCGTCCCATTTCATTTTAAGCTAACGAAAGTAAATTGCTCGTAGCAGGTCAGCTCCCATACGAACAACACTAACGATTCTATTTAATACTAAGAAATAATAATATTCAAATGCTAACAAAGGTTAACAAATTATGATTTATTCTTATTTCTGCATACGTAATGCATACATAATATCAGTACATATGTAATTAAGGATATTATGTAAGCATATGTTAATTGAGTAGAACGGTATCAACTCTATGATTACATTTATAAGGATTCATAATTTTTAGCGAGAAGAAAAATTATTAAATGATTTACCATTTACCATGAATAATGTTTCATAATTTGTTTGAATAGTTTGAATAATTTGATAATTATGGTATTATGCATACCTATGTACGTGGTAGTGAATTGAATGAAATGGGGCGCTGATGCTGGAAATATGAAAATTCTATATCATTCACAGAAGAAAAAATTTATTTAATACTTTTCATCGCACTTGTTTGTCTCATCTAAGCTTTCCTTTTTAGGGTTTAGTTTATTTGGTGGTTTTTAGTCGAATTGGAAAGTAATTTATTAATTGCTTATTGTGATCGTTTTGTTCGTCTGTCTGTCATTCCGTCCGTGGGCAGATATCTCCAGAACGACTCATAGTCAAGCGCGGTTATCGCCATTGTGCTTCTAATTTTTAGTTCTCGGTCGAGTTCGATAATATGATTAATAGGTCCACCCCCCATTGCGCCAGAGAGTGTGGTCCAAAATTAAGTTTCACCTTAATTTTCATGTGGCGTATCATTTTAAAGAAAATTTCACCACGAGTATTTTTGACCTAATGACCGTGAGGACGAAGACCAAAGACCAAAACCACTTAATTGCAGTTGAAACCTATGTTCCAACATATGTGACCTCTGACTTCCTATACACCGTTCCTGGGGTGTTGTAGGTCAAAACTGGTATAATACTCGTGTTCAGCGTTCAAAATCTATCTGAAATGTTTCGACATTTGTGGCAAATTTATGTTATTTAACATTTGATAACATTTTTGTGACTTTTGCTGACCTTCAAGGGCAATATATCTAGGTAACCGTTGAACTCAGAGTTAAATTTCCTAAATTGACGTGTATGCAATTAGTAGCCTTTTTGGCCTTCATAACCGGGGGTGTGTTCCGATTCTAATCAGGTCTAGCAATTGACGTAAGAAACCTACATATAAATATCTTCAAAGTTTCATTCAAGTCTGTACATATATTGCTGCGTTCACATCGAACCGACAGACGGACGGACATAACGATCTTATAAATGGGTGTCGCCCTTATATTAATAATCACTTTACTGTGTGCTTGGTGGGCCTTAGCAACTAAACTTGGTGGTGGTGGGAGTGGTGATATTTGACCACCATCAAAACTTTCCCAGTTTTAAACCGATTTTAGGCATTTTAATTTTGTATTTTTCTAGAAAATATTTATCAACTTTTTTCCCATTTACATTTTGCATACATGTCTTCATTTTTTTCTAATCTCCCAAAAACACATTTTTGATGGTGTTTTTGTTGCATATCTCAGAAACAGGTTAACATTCTAGCCTCCCGTTCGGCAGTTCAATTCTAATTTGCCATAATTAACTCTGGACACTAATTTCATTAAAATCCGATGGAAATTCACCTAGATCTGAAAAAATTAAGCTTTCCAAAACTGTAGTAACTGCTTACTTACAAATTGTTAGATGATTTTTTTCCTACAGTAACTATAGCCTCATCGAAGAAAAAGTTGGAAATCCCGTCTTAAAAAAGCTTATATATTTAACTGACAGATCGGATCGACTATATTAAAGTCAGACCGGAGCCAACCTTCTTGAGCCCATGATTTTGTTTTGCACAATTGTTATACATTATGTGTAACAAACACTCTGCTGAGGTTCATATTTATATTCGAAATCCAAATATCACGCACTAACAATCGCCAATTCAAGTGCTATTGTCAGTATCATTGTCAGCAAATAAACTAGACCAGTTCATTAAGACGATCCTGAAGGGGATGCTGCGTGAATGAGCAAAAATTTAAAAGGATGAGCGTGTAAGAAAAGAACACAATGAAAAGTGATGATGAGCACCATTGAGACTCTTGGAACTCAATAATAATCCAAGATGCAGTGCTGCAATGCATAGTTTCATGGTTTTTAAATGGTTTTGAGCTCTAGAAGAGCTGGAGAATCGGTCTAAAATCCACTTTTAACTTCTGGCTCAACTCAAAACACAACAAAAAACTGTAGTAGTAAGCTTTTGAAATATTGAAGGATTGCATTTAGCATGGTAAAAAACTAGTCAGCTCTCCGAGTGCAGAGTGTCACGTTTAAAATGTCTACACCTCGTCTCACTGGCTGGTTGACAAACAGCTTGAGATTTGAAACCAGTGTTGTTGTGCATATGACATTTTGATTTTCAAGACTTTACACTAGAGGATTGGCTCAACTGAAGTTGTATCCTTGCAGAAAACTGAATGAATTCAACTTTTGTGATTTATGACAAGTCAAATAAAATAAAGGATCGAATTTCCTCTTTCAATGACAATAAAATAAGTTTAAATTCTAGGCACGAACAATAGGCATCTTTACATCTTCATGAGAAAATTCATCTCAAGAAGATGTGATATTTAGACTAGTAGAAGCATTCTACAGATCAGTTCAACATTTTTATATGGAGGTTCATAAGAGCTTTCTGCAAATCTCATTCATGTGCCAATTCAAACCAGGAGCATTTTTATCTGCTCATGGTTTTATATCCGATTTTGTTGTTTCGGCACGAGTTAGCGATAGAGTAACGATATGACAGAAGGATGACAGAAAGACTGCGAGTTGCTGTATTCCATCCAAAAACACTCCACGCACTTGCAGTTCCATCCACTCAATCGCGATTTAATAGGTCACACACGCACATTATATGTAAATCCAGCTCAGGCAGGACACGTGGACCAGAAAAGCGTGTGAATAATACATAATAATAAGAGCTATATTTACTGTACTGCTTTTCTTTGGCCAAATATCATCATGTGCATATGTATAAAATAAGCCTTGAATGATTGGCGTATCATCGTGAACAACATTTATTGACAACGGGTATAAATATATTGACCTGAATAGCACTATTATTTTTATTCGCTTACGTATGCATACATACACATGTATAGCAGGTTTTGTGTACTTGCACACTACGCCTGTGGTAATAAAGTTCACGCATTATTTTATGTGGTGTAAAATACTTTAACCATTATTCGCGTATAATTTCGCGATTTAATCACACTATCCTTTGATATGAAACCATTTTACAGTTCACGAGCCAAACCTTTAACTCCAGTTACAGCACATGCCCAATATGTAAGTGTTTTTATGTAACCGTTGGCTTGTCACATCCCTCAATTTTTTTAAAATTAGATCAACTTCGACATGAAAGTCAAAGGAAATGTTCAGTGAAATAGATTAGTTTGGAAACTCGGATTTCATGTTGAAGGGAATTTTGACTTAATTTTTTATGTACTATATTCGTTCTCAATCTTTTGCTTCTTTGCACTGATCGTAACTTGCATACAGGAGGAAAATCGGAGGCTCGTTATTTTTTGTTATTGAAAAGTCTAAGAACATGAACTCGAGCTTCTAAAAAGCACTATTTTCTACATTACTACGTTCCGATCAGCGAGCAATGACGTTAATCTTCTGCATGCATTGTATGTTGGAAATCATGACTCGGTGAAAAAATAATAATTTAAGACCTTGTTAGCATACAATTTAGGGTTTTATCTCACGAGCTAAGATCATTCCATTCCATAATTCAAGTAAATTGACATTAATGATACAGCACAAAAAAACTGGAATTTAACAAATAAATTAAGTTAATCCTGAATTGTTTTTTGAACCATGTTGGAGGACATTTCTTAATTGCATATTAACAGCTGAAAGCTTTTAAATATAAATTGCACTCTTCATCGGACACACAATTTTTTACAGGTAGACAAAGCAAAGTCCAACAATTAATTAATTAAATTTAATTAACGAAATGAGTAAATAATCCGAAATTATTAAATCCTGGGTGAAATTCGTAAATTTTTTATTAAAAAAACAAACAGTTCTAGTGGCCCATTGCGCAGTCATTTAAATATTGACGTTTAGTCAATCAAGGTATTTTGTGCTCGGAATAAAATTCTAGTCCAGACATAAACTTTACTTCATTCGGAATCTGTATACATAGTTATATATATATATAATCAGGCTTTACGAAGGACACATTGATTCACAGTATTCCCATAATTTTGTCTGCTATTCTTACGAAAGTAAGCATTGTATGGATGTTGTTTTAGTACAATTTGTAGTTGAGTTTGGTGGCTTTCCAAAGAAAACAAAGTTAACTTATTTCCATCCGTTACAATCTTTTTTTGGAGTTTTAGATGTGACATAATGCAACTGTTTTTTTGGTTACCCGATCATTGTTTTTCCAAGCAAAAGGTTCCGACTCGAATGTATGTATAACCATTTCATAACAAGCCATCCTGCACTTGTCGGAAGTCTAAAATACACGATAAAAATGCCCATAGGATCTGCATTTTTATGAGCTTGTTAATTTGGAAAGATTACAAATTTCAGAAGACTGTGCTTTTAACTCGTTTTGTCCAAACCTTTGTGTATGCGACTTTTTACGGTAACTACATTATTCGCTAAAATGAAGGATCGGACATGTGCAATCTTGAACATTTACATGTATAGAAGTGTACACATTTTGCTGAGATAAATGTGAATATCAATAAATATGCTTAGCTTTTAAAACAACAATTGTTTGAGGTCTGATGTTAAGCATTTATATCCGAAAATTCTAAAAATATTTAATTAAATCTACCTTTGATCCAGCATTTGTCGTGCGTTGGAATTGGATATTCTCGCCATCCATGGACTTCCACTGGGTGAGCTCTTAGGACTGGCATTGTTTGGGGATTCACTTTGAGACAAGGATGCCGTCAATCCATCAATATCCGACATTGGAGAACTTTTTAAACTTGAGCATTTGGATGCAGTTATTCGCTGCGAAAAACTTTGATAAGAAAATCGAAGGGGAGAAGATTTGAATTTAGATTTCCGTCTTAAAATAGATTCTAGTCGTTGTTCCTCTTGCTTTTCCGTGTTATCAGCCATCGTGGGTGAAGAAGTGCAATTGCACCTATAATTTCTTTCTTAATGAACACCGAAATAACTGTACCCAATTCTTTCTTGGTTCAATTAATCAATGTCGCAAGTTGAGCGACCTGCGTCACATGGCACATGGTGAATGTTGATAAGTTTGCAGCCACACTGGTCTGGAAATGTGAACAAAGTTTCCCAAATTTTCTTGACATGTGTGTTCTTTAGAGCTTGACGATATTTTTCGTACAGCAAATCAAATATTGCGTTACATATTGAGCCAAACACTTCAGATTCACTTAAATATATTTTTAACATATTTTTTCCTTAATTTAATTTTAGAACTTTTCACAAAATTATTCTACAACTAAAACAGACTCGAATAATGTACGAATGCATGTGTTCACACCAACCAGCAACCTACATATTTGTAATTAAAGAGTGATTGGAAAACGGGTTACACATAGATAATTAACATTTTCTGCTACTTTAAAAGCATCATCGCATCATGTACTTATAGATGCATGTTCAAAGTTATTTATTGCTTCAATATATTTTGACCAACACTGATAGTTAATGTCTACCAATTGATAATACTCACACTTCGAGTAAACAAAAAATCAATCTGGCAAATTAACTTTCCAAAATCTTTGATAATGAGGACACTGTAAAGTGTTGGAGCAGAACAAAACATTTTATTTTTTATTAAAAGGATGATTTGTGAGGGAACGTGTAGAACAGAATCGTGTTCTCGATTTGTGATGCGTCTTCTGCCTGTATGCACATGAAAAACGGCCACTAACCAGAATTTGGAAGTATGAAGTGATCGTGCGGCACTTTTAATAATTGATTAAATGAGGTTCACATTAATTTAAAATCAAGTCACACAGTGCATATGTCAACATTGAGACACTAAATCAATCACTGCTTATATATTACGAAACGGAAATGAATTTGTCAGATTTCCTCGAGCTATGTAATATGTCACTCAAATCTCACTAATGCAATAAGTAATATTTACACTAATGCATTTACATTATGCATTTAAAATAAATCACTGGTTATATGTTTGCTATCTAATTATCTAAAACTTGGCTGGATTGAAACAACACATTGGAGTACAAGTTAAGTAGAGATTCAGATACAGTAAGTACAATTTTCTAAGATTGGTGCATACGTATGTAATTACATGACTAAATACTTGTGTTGTGTATGCATATAGCCAATACAGGATACTAATGGATTACATACTTATTGTTTGCACTTTCCAGTTGAACTTGCAGTATATTTATTTTATGACTTGTCACAGGAAAGACATTTGCTCATTGCAATTAATGTTAGGATGATATGCTTCATTTGAATTAGAAATCATTTCTGCTCTTATCGCTTGTTTCAAACGACGTGGAAGAACTCAGAGGCACTTTTCGTCTTTATAATTGAGATAACAACTATTTATTTAGCCGTATGTAATGTGGACAGTGAACTATGCAAATATCTACTAGGCCACTGAATGTTTCGGGGTAGTACGTACATATGTTCACTACATGTACGAAATATCACCCAAAGACACCTTTATCACATGAAAGCATATGCTTTAAATGTCATTTTGAATAAACCAGATGCAAGTAGAAGTAAACTATGTGAACAAGAACGACAAAGTTGACTGGAACTCGACAGAAAATCAGAGCTAATAAATAATGTAACCACATCCCTCAAACAGACCGATGTGCACACCAAATGAACTGAACGTGTATCAATATATCCTTACATTCTTTAATTCAGATGTATAAATAACCAGTTTCCGGTGTCTTCTCGAATATATATGATCGTCACCTCTAATCCGATTGAAGATACTTGGCTGATTTTATTTCATTTTTTTGCCATGCTTCATTAGATTTCCTTTAAAAGATAGGTACGTATTTATGTCCTCAGATTGTCAGAAAAAAGTTGAGAATGCCTAAGTTTGAATTTACACAAAACAAACATTAATTTTGAAAACTACTTCATTATATATTTCAAAATTTAACGAGGTCATATATATATATACTTATATATGGTTGAAAAATGATTTATACATAGGTTTGGAGACAAGTTTGACTGATCAGCTTATGCTGAATGCATCTTCTGTGTCATTATACGTGTAGTTGGTTGAATCCAGATTATAAAATGAATCGTTATATTAATTAATATTATACACAGTATACAATTAATATATTCTGTATCATTATTAGGCAATTAGGTAATTCACAATATTGGTACATGATTATGTTTTCTTAAATGTTACAATTGTGAATATTACTGTAAATCATCAACATATTTTCCTAAATAGCTCAATGGCCCATTTTAAGTTATTTTGTATAATACTGTTTATCTGCACATGGTAGCATCAATCTGAGTTAAACTTGGTAAAGCCAGCTTAATTCGACGACGGTAGTTGGGATCGTTTCCATTCTGCCAGATTGGATTTCTTTCAAAATAGACCGTTTTAAGAGGGGCATGTCGTAAATTATCAATTTGATGCCAGTCATCCAAAAAATTGTCGTTAAACTGCAATAACACATTATAAATATTTTATTACCTGCACACCGCATACCATAAGGCATTTGTTTATTTACAATATTAAGATAAAATCTCACCCAAAACTCCTCCAATTTTGGCAGACCATCCAGATTTTCAATTAATTTAATTCGATTTCCTGCGAGGTCAATTGTTGTCAACTCTTTGTTGCTGCTCAATCCTTCAATTTTCTCTAACCCATTGTGAGAAATGTAGAGTTGTTCCAATTTGCTTAATTTTTCCAAATTTTCAATCACCAAAATGCGATTACTTTGAATACTTAGGATTTCCAAATTTTCTAATTTATCCAGATTTTGCAACTTTGTAATTTTATTTTTCCCTATGTAGAGTTCCTTCAGTTTTGTCAAATGCTCAATATTTTCAATTGCCTATATGTTAAAATAGTTGAAATATTGAACTCAAATTGGTACAACGTGATATACCTATCTGCTATTTTTTATTACCCGCAATCTGTTGTCTCCGAGTTCTAATGTCTCTAGATTGGTAAGTTCATTCAAATTTTCAATTTTTCCAATTTTGTTTGCACATAAGAACAATTTTCGTAGCTTCTTCAAAGAGCCCAAGTTCTGAATCTTTCTTATCCGATTAAAAGAAATGTCAAGAATCCTGTACGACAATAACAATATTAAGCTACAGGTATTAAAATATGATGACGATTAACGCATATACATACGTATATTATTTTGTAACTTACTCAAGATTAACGAGAGCTTCCAAGTTTTGAATTTCTGTGATTTGATTGTCGTAGAACTCGAGCTCTTTCAAAGTAACCAAACACTGGAGATTTTCAATGGATTTCAATTGATTCCATCTAAATGTCAGTACTTCCACGACGCTCAATTGCATGATTCGTTCATCAATTTTCGTCAGCCGTTGGTGATTCAGGTCGACCACTTCGAAAGTGGGGTCGAGTTCCTCCCAGGGGTCACTTAGGTCATTGCCGGTCTCCCTACCAGGCGCCTGCTGGCGAGTCTCAGTCTCATCAGGGTCAGGGAGTGATTCATTGTCGGATATTGTAATGGATCCCCTTGATGAATGACGTCCAGCAGTCCCATTAGAACCTTCGGGTTTGGAATCTTTAAAAAACATACAACACAATTATAGTAACATAACAATCATGCAGCAGATCAGTGTTAATATTTATTTTACCATTTCCTCCATCGTCCCCAGAATCTTTCATGGGACCAGGGAGCTCAGGTTGCAGTTCTGAGTTAGAATTTGACATCGTAGAGTTGAAGTTTTCGAGCAGCTCTAACAGTTCACAGTTTACAAAGAAACAATTAATTGTAACAAAGCAATTAACTTAAATTCTATATGAGGAACTCACCGGATCGTTCAAACAACAAACCTATGTATTGTACTACAAAAAGACGGAGGTCTCAGAAAGATTCGGAAAATTAACTAATTGTATCAATTTAAGGAAGCAGTGACAGGTCAATTGAATAAAAACACTTGAACGGAGGTTTGTGTGCGACACAAAAGTATGGGCAAAATCCCGCTCGCCCCGTTCCACGTAGCCCTGTCTCATGTGGAAGAGAAACATTTATGCAGTTTTACTTTCACCACGTTCTTCGAGTCACTTTCCAATTGCATATCATAATCCATACAAGTCCAGAATACATAGTTACGTCCTCCATGATAAGCCTCTAACTGTTTAAATGCATTGGAATAATAAACCAATAACTTTGACGAGATAAAGAAAAGACGTGAACAAACAATGAATAAGTGTTACTGTTCATTTCTGAGTGTGGAATCCACATTGTGGATTGTTCTAGTGCATGACTTAACTGATTTAACAATCAGTTTGCATATTTTTATGAATGAATGGTGAAGAACGTTCGTCAACTGTATGTTAGTTGGCTTCCCGTCCGGAATGCTCCGATTTTGTGCAATATTGTATTCGTGGATGCATACTCTTCGGGTAGAAGTGACTCTGACTGAACCGATTGGCAATAACCCTCCACTGCTGAGTATGTAGCATATTAGTAAACCAGAGACCGTTTGGTCTCTGGGCGATTGAACGTCTCAGGTTTTGCAATGATGTTAAACTGTGTAATCATTTATAAATAGAGTCAAAAGTGTATCATCTTTAAGATACTAAATTTTGGTTCACGTAAAACATGTATGTGGAAGAATACATCACACAGATAAAGAAATTAGGTGCCGGAATCTTAAAACCAAATAGTTTTAGTGTTTGACAGAGTGTGCAAGTGTGTACATGGGGTCTATTTTTGCATTCTAACAACTTATCATCATAAACGTAAAGATTTTCGGTATCTCAATCTCAAACTAAACCACCTTTCCTATCTGGACATTACTTCTAAATCACACTTTAACGCAGTGAGAGAGTGATAATAATTACGACTCTACTCACGGATTCTATCAGATTTTTTCCATCAACATAATTTCGAGGTAATAGCTTTTATATGTGCATCCTACCTGCATTTTAATATTTTAGTGATGTATGTACAATGATAATAATAGCATTTTTACAATTTCTGGTTTACGACTGATAAAGCATTGTCTTAATACATATTTAGGTGTAGGTTTACCACACGCACACCTTTTAGGTTATCCAAAATACTCAGAATTTGTTCGAATCAAGTCTTATGTAACTAAAACTAGAACCCTCATCAATACGATGACCGAAAATGGACATAGAAACATTTCTGCAAATGAGGTGATCAGCAAGAATAATTATACCAAATTTGAGTAAAAGTATTTAACTATCGTCATTATCCAGATTTGTTTGTAATCATATCTAATAATAACAATAATACAAAGATTAAAGTCCAAAAGTCTCTACACATAATATTTTCAACTCTTAAAATGACATACCCACATGTACCTACCATTGACGAGCATACGACGAATTACGACATATTACAAATCAATATTATATATCAGACCCCTGTACATATGCATTCATGTAGCACGTAGAATATAAAAGAAGAGGAACATGGTAAAAGAAGAGGGCATTGTTCCCATTTTTGTTGATTATTTATTTCCTATTGCATATTCCCTGAACCATTCAACCTACTTGTAGTGATTTGTTATGTTCGAAACTATAAAATATTTCAATAATTTCCCTTGTGCAATTGGACTCAAATTTAAGTCCTTCTTTTAACATGCATTTAACTTGAGTGTAACCAAATTAACGATAATACAAGGTCAGTAGTCTAATAAACTTATGGTAATTGCTAAAATTATACGTGCTATAGCCAGTCATTGATATTTATGTTCAAGTTTCGTCCAATATGAAATGCAGTCCTGTTCATTGCGCTTATTATATATACCCAAAAATGAATGGCGACTGACGATGAATATACGTTTCATGTACATATGTAATTTTAAATACTGTGTAATTACGCATGAGTAAGATTTAGATGTCGCCAATAATAACTCTGTACGAGTTGTCGCATGACTTTTAGACTCTGCTTTTGTCGTGTCATCATAATACGTATGAAAATGCACATTTCTCGTTTCGATTCGCAGGCATCTTATCTTATAAGCTGGAAATGTTTGTTGGCAACGGAAGTGAAAGTAATTTTCCGTGACGGAAGTGAAAGTGGAGAAAGTTGATAAGCCAGTTATCAAGGATTTGCTGGTTAGCTTATCAGGAAGGGAAGTTAACTAAAATTATTACGTTCGGTTATCCGGTCGCATGTGGAAACGGCATGTGCCCCATTGGTATGGGATTGTCTCTATGCTGGGGGAAAGGGAGGGTGTGGCCCATTTATGGTTATCGCCCTGCTGGGGGAAGTGGTTGGGTGTGCCCCATTGTTATATGGTTATCGCTCTGCTGGGGGGGAAGCGAGGGTGTGCCCCATTGGGATATGGTTATCGCTCTGCTGGGGAAAGCGAGGGTGTGCCCCATTGGGGTATGGTTATCGCTCTGTTGGGGGGAAAGGGAGGGTGTACCCCCTTGGGATATTGTTATCGCTCTAGGGGGAAGTGATATGCCAGACATTATCATGGATATTTGCCTATTATCCAAGTGCTGGGTGTGAAATGTTGGCGAGGTCACTTTCCGGAGGTACATTTGTTCCTTTGTTCCGGATATTTAAGGAACATTCTGTTCCGTTCAGGCCCGTTCCGAAACCAGTGACATAAATTTCGCTATGGATGGATGACGGGAAGGAGAACGGAAACGGATTCCGTTCCCTTCATAGGTAGACCATATTCATATTGGATTGTTTAAATTACAAAATATATTTACTTAGCCTACACACAAGGGAATTGAATTCCCTTCCTCTTCCATTCCCCTTGGATATACTTCAGGCGCAGTAGTGAAATCTTCACATCAAGGGAAGGGGAATGGATTTCCGTTCCCTTCATGTGTGGACTACACACTTATCGCTATGCTGATAGGCATAGGGGATGCCGGATATTGGCTAAGGACTTTGCCTATCGAAAGTGGTTACACCCCCAGTGTTGGGTGTGATCTGTTTGTGGGGTCGCGCACCTAACCGGCCACTACCTCTGTTAGAGTTAACCCCATTGGAATGTGGTTATCACTCTGTTGGAGGTTTGCGGGCTGGAGCCGCAGTGAAGTCGTCAAACGATGGTGAAGGGTTCCGTTCCTTCCCTATCCCGTTGGATATACTTCAGACAAAGTAGTGACATCTTTGCATGAAGGGAAAAGAAAGGGAACGGAACCCCCTTCCCGTTGGATATACTTCATACGAAGTAGTGATATCTTTGCATGAAGGGAAAGGAAAGGGAACGGAACCCCCTTCCCGTTGGATATACTTCTGACGAAGTAGTGATATCTTTGCAAAAAGGGAAAGGGAACGGAACCCCTTTCCAGTTGGATACACTTCAGATGAAGTAGCTATTTCATATTTTGTCAAAACTTCTTTCCAGCTCTCACTGCAGCTTTACATAAGGAAGATGCCGCTCCCAACGACAGACAAAATATACAGTAGCCGCGGAAGGGTGGGGACAGGGATGAGGGAATATGTTCCCGCGGTTATTCGATGTTCCCATCGGCTGCCCATGTTATACATATTCCATTCCCTTCATATGCAGACTATGTAGATTTAATGAATGGAATCCGTTCCCTTTTCAGTTCTTTTATCAAGGGAATGAGGCTTCAGATGAATTAGTCAAATCTTCTACTGGAACATATTTTGAAATCTGAGCACGAATATAATATCATACGCGCTTTGACATTCCACACACCAGTGACCGTGTGGACCAAGTCAAATGTCACATATGTCGAATACGTCAAACATGTCTTTATTAACAGATTTTGAACTGGGTATAACAATATGATGTTGATTTTCCATGGATCCATTCGTTGTGACCATATATTTATTACCAGATAAGAATATATAGAATGCCATGAGAATTGTTTAGATTTCTTAAATATTTTAATTTTCCTATTATTAACTCAAATCATCAATTTGACGTTCTTTACAAATTCCTTTGACTTCCGTCGGTGACAGAATTTGAGCTTATTATATAGACTAAAATATTTAATTGGTTGGAGTTTTCCAAAATTCCACTCAATTTTCATGAAAATCAAATAACCTCGCGCCCGGCGGGAGACGGGCTTATACGCTAGTCCATCAAATGCCAAAACAACAAACGTTGAAAATGTCAGAGTCCTGCATATATAAAATCTTGAGATCTCATCCATTGTGAAACTAATCGGGATTCATCATTTCACAGCGTGCCTCAAAAACTCAAAATTTTCCAATGTGTTGTACAATACATGGGTTCCGTCACCATTATCTTATCACCATTTACATATGTATGAACAAAATCGTTGACATATCAAAACATTGTTACATTATGTATGTGCATAAATGTCATGCAATTCAAATGCTCGTATTCGAGACACCTGATTCCTTCCAGGGTGGATGACATTGTTATTTTTGGTCACCAACATTATACATTATCATCAAAATTTAGATCGCTAAAATCTAACCTGCAAACAGTAAAGATATTTTTTGTTTGGTAGCCTATGCAGTTTAATAATAGACATGTGCTTATATTCTTGCCAACCCTACAGTCACATTTTACTTGTCAACGTGGTGATAAATTTTTGTCAACTGTAACTTTTCCAATTCTGCTTACTGATATATACTTCATAATACATTTGTAGTGATTTATATCACACGAGTGTAACACATTGCCTAATCATTGAGTGAATTTCTAAAGACTCTTTGGTCTATATTAAAACAAGCACTCTTTGTATACATATTCGTTAATGTTTCTGTTATTAATTACAGGTGAAGTACGTTGGCTGTCACATTATTCAGGACTGGAAGCGTCGTCAGTATCAAACAAAAGCTGACATTGATTACCAACACTCGTGCTCTCATCCCTTCAAATTCATTAAGCCCATTCTATATATCGAATTATTCATTAAACTCACTAGCAGAAAGACAGAACAATTGCCATTCGAAAGTATCTGCCACGCCACAACTGGTGCTCCTGATCTATTAATTTGATAACAAAAAAATTGAAGCAAAAAATCTTTACACGAACGAATAGCGATCGTGTGTGTCAGTTGCAATTGGATTAGGATATTCATGAGAGTATTTCGCTACAATTGGATCTGTCGTCTCATTCTCACTCTATAACAATACAAAGACAGGGTTGTCATCTGACCATAGCAGATTATTGCCAACCCTTCACTCTTTGGCGAGTAAGCTAATATTGCTAGTTTGGCGTTTCCTCCTGCACTACCACAGCACTTTACAGGACATTAGATCATGTCCTTAGATCCGTTTGCAAAAATTTTTGAGCTCATTGTGCTAGCTTCCACCATTCGTTTGTAAGCTCCACTTGGAGAGGAAAATGTGCTTCGCATAGAAATTAGTCGTTGTTGTTTTAGCATACTAACCCCATTGTTGCTCGTATTATCTCAAATTATTTACTAAATCGCCAGGAAATTATAACTGCTAAAAACACTGGGGTTTTGGGTGAAATTACAAAATTTCCAAGTGGTTCATCATCGTGTTAAAAATTGTAGCCTAAAAATTAAGCAAGTTAGCACTGGAGTCAACAAATGGTTCAATGCATTATACGTTTTACACACACGCAGTATTATAAAGTTGATCTGTGTCAGAGATACCGTGTTTATTGAAAAGTATTATTTTTGTTAAGGCGTTTATTACAATGTAAACTTTCCACTGGACTAGTACAACTTTTTGTGTTGAGGTTGGATAAATTCCTTAGGCAGTAGGCTGACTAGAATCTATTCGATAGCATAAACATACTACTATTCTGCACCACATGCAGTAAACGTGTCCCCTGGTGAAACCCAAATAAGTTGGGTTACTGTCGAACCAAAAAACTGAATTCAAAATGACGATCAAGGAAATTTTTTACAATTTGGAAAGTGATGGCGACTCTAAAAAAGGTCTCAAATCCTCCGACTCGTTTGCTTCAAGTAACGATCAAGTCACGGCAAGTCCAACGCACTCGAATTCTGTGAGCTCTCAATCGGATTCTTCGGATGGAAATGTTATCGTCAGCGGTGACGACTCTTCTGAACGGGACTCGAACACTTTTGAAGGTTTACTAAAGCTTTGTGGCGAGGCGGGATTTTGGCAATTAAAGGCAATTTAATACGTTTGCTACTTTGTCATACTCTCATATTTTGTTATATGCTTATTTCCGTTTTCTCTGGTATGGTTTTATCAAGATTAATGTTTATTCTGTAAAATTTGGCAGATTTTTCTCCTAACATCCTTTTGTGGACTCTGCACTGCGTAAGCGCTTTTATAATTGTTATACTTGCTGAGAAAGGGGGATTTTTATACGACTTTGTTTTCCTGGATATTTTCATACGCAATCTTTGTTGGAGTCATGAGAATCGCATGCACTTTATTTTACCAGTTTCATCCCAACTTTTGACAGTGTAACAGTATTTTGTCGTCGCTTTATACACTGTGCGACTCTGTTACACAAAAATATACATCCTCATATTCTGTACTTTGTGCGGGCTTGAAATTTTAATTTATTCATTTAGGCTTCACAATCTAATCTATGCATTTGTTGGAGCAATTCCTGATCATTGGTGCGAATTGCCACAAGTGGATGGATATTCGCATTCAGATTTAAAAAATCTTACGATTCCAAGGTATTCTATCTTTAACTTTATATGAAATACTTAATTGTGATTTTTTGTAACTACCTGATACCTGATTCATATCTACATGTATACAGAGACGGAGATGACTACGATACATGCAAGCAGTTCCGATACACCGTTTCTGGGTCAAATCTGACTGTGAACAGAGATGACAAGTTTTCTTGTTCCAACCACGAGTTTGACGATTCCGTTTTCGAGAACACCATTGTCACGGATGTAAAATACGAACCAAATTAAAATGTGTCTGGATACCCTAATGCTTTTCCTTTGTAGTTCAACTTGGTGTGCAAGGATGATTATCTGGCCTCAACTGTCCAAGCCATGGTACAGTCGATATTAATTTATTTGTAAATTGGAATAAATTGTGAAGGAAGTTTTATAATAATTTTAAAATAATGCGTGGATTATTTTTTAGTACATGTTTGGAATTTTGTGTGGAAGTCCCTGTTTTGGAGCATTGTCAGATCAATATGGGAGAAAGAAAACTATTCTGATTGCAACAATCATTTTTACATTGGCTGGCCCTCTGGTTGCACTTGCTCCGAATTTTTACATTTTGATGATTGCAAGATTCGTGCTCGCATTCGGTAAAGAAAAGTTAAAGAAAACGATCATAAGTAACCACCTCATTCATAAGCATCTCGTTCACTTTTAGCTTCCCCTGGGGTTTATGGAACTTCGTTTGTCTTGGGTGGGTAACAACTATGTATTTAGTCGCAAAGCATTGCAGTAAACTAATTCCATTGATAATGTGATTGGACGATTTGTTCTTCTTCCAGTCATTGAAGTTCTTGGCCCTGGATGGAGGGGACTTGCAGGAAATTTGTTTTGTTTGCCCTTTGCTGTGGGTTACATGCTGCTACCTGGAGTAGCCTATTACATCCGGAACTGGCGATATTTGCAGTTGGCTTTGTCGGGCCCATCGCTCATTTTGTTGGCGACATGGTTGGTTCACACACTTTTTTTATAGCCTTTATGCGTTTACTTCTATACGTTTATTTTTCAGGTGGTTCCTACCTGAGAGCCCCCGTTGGCTGCTTAGACGAGGGCGAGTGGAGGAAGCCGAATCAATTTTGAGACAAGCTGCTGCAACCAATGGTCGAAAAAAGATGTTGCCAACTTCATTCGGCGATATGGTAGCAAAAATTGGAGACTATGTAAGTTCAACTAATTCAACAATGTAGACACATGTAAATACGAGCGATGCATATTATAACTGATGGAGTGAGTTAAATTTTTAAATGTGTAACACTAATATCTATCTATCTTCAGGAGAAAGAAGAAACTGTGAGCATTACATGGAAGAAACGATTGTCTAGCGTGTTGGATGGGTATGCTAGTCTGCTGAGGTCCCCGAAACTTCGATTACGAACTTTGGTTATCTACTTTTGCTGGGCATCGATTAGTATGATCTACTACGGGGTGGCCTTGAACTCACCCAATTTGTCGGCTGACAGATATTTGTAAGTTCCTCTCTTTTATTTCCATGTCTTCAAATATGCTTTCTGAGAGAAATTTCCTGTAATGATGAAGCATCGCCATTCATTATCCCCGATTGCTACATATATCATGTTCCCCTCAACTGAAAAATAGTTTCTTAACATTGATGAGTTCTCAATTATCGCAGGTACACGTTCATCGGAGGTGTTTTAGAAGTACCGTCATATTTCATGGTGCCGCCGCTAATTCGCTTTCTCGGACGACGACCAGTATTCTCCGGATTTTTGCTGATCTGCAGTGCCTCCCTTTTAGCCAGCTTGTTATTTGAATCCGGTACACAATTTTGACCTGATTAATGCTTCAATATGAAAAAAACGTTTATGTGATCATCTCATCACTACAGGATCCGTAACTATCATCATATTGGCTTTATTTGGCAAGTTGGTCATTGGGGGAGCTTACTCACTTGTCTATCTTTATGCCACCGAGTTAATGCCTACTCTGTTGAGGACGTATGGACTTGGAACTGCTAGTATGGTTGGACGAATTGGATCTATTATGGCACCATACGTCGTATGGCATCTTCTTTAACTTATCATTTAATGAGATACGATGTATTTGGATAAAATAAAATACTTTTAATTCAGGTGGACTTGCTGGGAAAGGAGAACAACACGTACCCGAGTATCGTGTTTGGTTCCGTGTCACTAATTGCTGGTAAGTAGATAAATACTACTGCAGACAGGCAGGCAAAAAACAGGAGGAAGAGCATTTTCCCTATAAGATGATTTTGTAATCTCGTGGTTTGTCTTAATTTATAGGATTGCTGTCAATCCTTTTACCTGAGACTCGTAACCGAAGATTACCAGAAACGGTGGATGATATTGAATTTGATAAATTATAAGGCTGGCAAATGTGAACCATGTAGTCAAATATATCAGCCAGCAATTTTAACAAAATAGACGAAATGTAACTAACATTACTATTGTACAGAGATTTTCGTTTTGAAATCAGTTTTGTTGTTTAGCAAACCAGGGGCAGATGATGTGTGTATGCGAACGAATTGATGTTAAATGTAGAGACTGAAACAAACTTTCAAAATTCAACTCTGTTGGAGACCAATTTCGTAACATACATGTTCAAATTTGTATAGAACTTGTTGTATGCATATAGCATCAAAAACAGATATATATGTATTTAAATACGGATGCTTAGTACAAATTCGAAATTATTGCACTTGGATAACTTTCAAAAAACAACTTGTTGCTTTTGTATGTATATGAAAATATGTATGTTGGATGTTGAAAATAATAAAATATTTATTTTAGTCCGTCACATTTGATTAAATTCGATTTTTTTATTTGCATTATTTTTAATTAAAAATGTTAATTTGACTATGATAGTTAGTTTTCAAAAGATCATCCATATTGATTGTTCCATATATTTAGTTCTATTTGCTGCATATGCTATAAAATTAGGTGTGCGGATGATGCCACCCGATCAATCGCACCCCATCAATCGCACCCCGGCTAACGCACCCCACCATTGCCACCCCTAGGATGATGCCACCCCCGATCATTCGCACCCGAGCAATCACACCCCTGTAGATGCCACCCCTTATCAATCGCACCCCTAGGAGTATCCCACCCCCGATTTTGTGAGATTTTGACAAATTTTCGGGCACAAATAAATGAGTGTAAATATGCGATATGTTGCTGAATTTATTGGGGTTATAAAACAATGCTAGGATTATCTCATGAGTGAGATTTTGAGTTACCGCCCTACTAGCACATTGCCAGTGCCGATTTTGTACCGGTATGTCCCATTTCTCGGTACCGATTGTATAACGATTTCTTGCTGGTACAAGGAAATCAGTATCTTACCGGCACAGTTTTGGTACAGGTGGAACCGTACATATAGTACCGGTACCATTTTTGTATAGTGTTGCAAGTACAGTCCCGGTACCCAAAATTTGTTCCTAAACTTTGCTGGTAAGGTACCGATTTCCCTGTACCAGCAAGAAATCGTTATACAATCGGTACCGAGAAATGGGACATACCGGTACAAAATCGGCACTGGCAATGTGCTAGTAGGGCGGTAACTCAAAATCTCACTCATGAGATAATCCTAGCATTGTTTTATAACCCCAATAAATTCAGCAACATATCGCATATTTACACTCATTTATTTGTGCCCGAAAATTTGTCAAAATCTCACAAAATCGGGGGTGGGATACTCCTAAGGGTGCGATTGATAAGGGGTGGCATCTACAGGGGTGCGATTGCTCGGGTGCGAATGATCGGGGGTGGCATCATCCTAGGGGTGGCAATGGTGGGGTGCGTTAGCCGGGGTGCGATTGATGGGGTGCGATTGATCGGGTGACATCATCCGCAAATCATAAAATTATGGGGTTGCAATTACCCAACCGGTTGGGTAGTTAAAGTACCTTTTCTTCTGATTCGTCATATATGTCATGCTTATACCCTTATCTTTTAAATGAGTTTAATAAATTGGACACTACATTCGTACATAAATTCAGACCACGCACTTTGCTCTTATTGACCCTTGTTATTATTTACCATATCACTCCAAACTTATTCCACCTTTAATGACCAACCCACAAGCACTTATCTCACTTTTTGTTTTTATGCATAATTTTGCATACGTGTCATAGCCGTTGAAACCCCTCAACATTTACACTGTATGTATGTACATCTAATAGGTAAGTATACATAAAAGTATATATAGTCATCCTTTCTGGAAAGAGAAGTTACTTTTTCCCGAATATACAATATGTATTTATTTATATATTTTTTGACCTACATATTTATATAAATATCTATATAATCTGATTCACTGTCAAGATAAGACTAGCTGACTGCTATTTCTGCTATACTTGTTTATTAAATGTATTTCAGTTCAGAGTCGTTTGGTATGTACAATACTTAATTCTTGATTTGGACACGGACGATTTCGCGTTTATTTGTTTAGCGCATGCATTTTTTAAAGCGTTTACTTTTACATAGTGGAAAAATCAACTCCACCTGAAAATAAGTAGATATAGACAAATTTAGTCTATACCTTACAATGGCGGAGTCAATCGGATGGATTGTAAGTTTTCGTCAACGAGAACATTTCATTCTTTCTACGTGTACTGTTTCAATTTCAATAAATATTATCAAAGATTGGCACATGATTGTTTTAATCAAAGTGTTGATGCTTTTTCAATGATTATTCGATTGATGGGTTCGTTCGTGTAGGCCGTCTTTCTTCATTACTTACTTACTATTCGCATAATTGTATGCACATACTTAATTTGTCAACCATCATAAAGTGGGATGGGAATATTACTAAATAGCCGAGCAGAGTTTGCATTTTCAGGTGGATATGGACAAATTGAACCGCTGTACTCCACCACACAGTTTTTGAATTCTGAAATTAGTAATGACAAGAAATACATTTAGCCAAGCTTTGTGTAATCATTGAGGAAATTTGAGGTAATTGAATTTCGAAAATTTTGTTATCGCCCACCTTGATTTTCGATATTGATATTGCTATGTCGTCTAACGTTCTCCTTATTGGCGAGTAGCTTTAAAAACTTTGGACTATCTTCTCTTAGGGTCAATTCTGAATCTGCCTGTTGAGCTAAACTAAGCCTCCTTCTTCGTTTGTCGTAGAACCCCCAACACCAACAAAAACAACAAAGCTATCCATGCACCCAGAAACCAGCATAAATTATATGGATTTTTAAAAATTTCTATTTGTACAAATGTGTAATAATTACATACCATCACGGCTCCCAACGCCAACACTATCATAACAACGCCCCACCAACCGGAAATGAATCCACGACCGACACCTCGAATCATTGCGTCCTGTGTACTAAGATGAGGGAGGGAATGGGGTAAAGTTTATAAAAATACTACCACGACAAAAATCTTGGCACTTTTTTAAACATTGTGTCCCAGCCAGCAGTGCACTTTATACAAAAAAACACTTGTTAAAGCATGACTAAAAAACTAAATTCAAAAACTGTTAAAAAACCTCTACGGGGAAAGATGTTGCTTTGGGGTCAAAACGCAGCAATGTTTGTCTACTTTTTGGCCACTAAAAATTGCGGCCTTCTGTAGGGTTTAGGGGACTATTTTAAATTAAGGACAAAATGAAAAGGGGAAAGAGTTCTAGTCAAAAATAGCATTGCGTAAAAAAGTCTCTCCCGCTTTCACTTGACGGAAATTCCCTCAGCGAAGAGTGATCCCGAGAAAGCAGGGGTTTGGACGTGTATTAGGCTGACTACGAAGGCGAGGAGAAAGTGAAAGAGACCCAAATATCATCATGGACTTGGATGAAGTTGAGAGTAATTCGTGCATCCTGCTAACTCGCAACTCGCGATGGCTGAGTGAAAGTTGAAAGTATGGGAACATTTCCTTCCTCCGATCTCCTTCTGCTTCTTGGTGAAGAACGGCGAATGAGTGAAATCGATATTTACATCCAATTTCCCCATCTTAGCAGAGCAGTCAGATGTGCATGATTCTGGTGGGTGTTTCTTTGAACGATCTCTCTTTTTCTTTTTGTGGAGGAGGAGGAGGAGGATATAAACCATGGAAAGAAACCATCGAACCGTAATGTTGTTCAACTTTTTGTGCTGTATTCTTATTAGGTGGATACTGCCTGCCTATTCTCTTGTACGGATTAACTTCAAGATCAACAAGACGACGACTGACTGCTGACTTTTCCCTTCTTTTTGGAGCATCATCAGAGGAAACCGAGACCTGATCCTCCAGCCAATCCCTGAATGAATGAGCGAGGACATAAAAATTGATTGGAATCGTTTCCTTTCAGTCACTTAAGCTTCTTGTCCTAGGAAAGCAGCCTATTTGGACTTTGACACAGCTTTCAACCGGCCTAGCTTAATATTATTATATTATCTGTTTTGGCAATCAGCAGCAGCAGCGTGCAGAAGCATGGCTGAGGATAAGTGGGGAATTGAGAGGGAAAGCTCATTCTCAATCACGCCCTATCGCATGATGACCGTGTCATTCTCAGGATTTTCCGTATAATAATTGTCGACGGATTGAATTCTCTACCTTTAATATTTACTCTGACATTAATGTGCTATTCAGTCAGACAAAAGTGAGCTCGTTTAACTCAGTTTAGTGAGACTTCTTGATGAAAACACTACAAAATCTTCCCAGAAGGCGTTTTTTATCAAGGACGCAATAAAACATATTTGAAATGATATGCATTTATTAAAATCTTTTACATGGAGAACACATCCAATTATCAGTAATGGGTAGAAATTCAAAAAAGCTCAACATAGCGTTCATAACACATTTTAGGTGTGTCAAATCCGTTTCTCCTGGCAGGCATTTCACGGCTACTGCTAAAAAACAGATATGTTTTCGAAGCATTGAGTGAGAACATTTAGGAAAGTAGCTGAAGCGAGCTTTGGATGAATGTAAGATGACAGCGAGAAAGTTGAGAAAGTGACTTTTGGCTGAGCCCTATCACATCGTCATCATGATATTCAATGGGGCTTGACTCATCCACAATTTCAATCAACAACTGCAAGGTGCCAGGACGGATAGACACGGCCCATCAGATTAGAAGAGAAAGCGCAAAAAAAGTCAAGCCAACTGTCGGCCGGTCATTCCAAAGTTCTTTGCCCACCTTTTTTTATATTTGCAACCAAGATCCAAGTCGACAAGACACGGTGAAACTGGTGAAAGTTATGTGATATCAGCAATGACACGGCAACAGTACCTTGATTCTGTACATAGTTTGATATATGTAATATATATGTATGTATGCACTGGATAAAAATAAACCATATCAGGATAAGAATTTTATGTCAACATATCATAACACATATGAGAATTACACAAAAAGACAAGCACACAATAAAAATTGTATAGACATTGAAATTATTCACCTTCTACCCACGATATTGTATGTACATACGTATGTAGATGTTCGATTCAGGGGCATAATAATAATTGTCTGAACGTGTGTCACTCATAGGGTACAAATATTACTGGCGTTGACAATTTAATGAAAAAGGTCTGACATATCAAGTGCCAACTCTTGAACACGTGTTCTTAATTAAGGTTTCTATTTAATTAGCATGGGTGTTGCACGAGTCGTGGTTCGACAACTCGGCTACTTTTTCTCCTCTTCCTCCTCCTCCTCAACTTCCTCGATGATGGGGAGCATAAGCAGGCTGTATCCGACGCATAACGTCGTAATTATTTGGAACACCAACCCTGCCACGATCACTTCAAATGACCATCCTATCTCCCATTCATCCTTGGGCTCTGAAAATATTTATATTTTTGACACCGTCATTATTTTGATTTTAGTCAAAATCACTTGTTTACTTTTAAATGGTCCCAATTCCTCCACATCCTCCATCAATTCACCAAAACATGCAGAATAAATGAACAGAGATAAGCCACAGGAAATAACTGGTCAAAATTAAATCATAACAATTAGTCGATGCCCAAGATTATGAGCATTACTTTTGTAGTCATTGTCAAGCATTTCTTACTGCATACAATCCATAAATACAGGGACAACTTGTATGATTTCCTCTTGCTATCAATATCTTTCACCCATGAACCCAGCATTGCCAAGATGAAACCAAAAATGTTGCTGGCCAAGCTGACGGAAATGAATAGAGCCTACAAAACAATTGCATTATTGAAGTTGGTTGCATAGTATGTAAACCGCAAGCGAAATAAAATTATCATATCTTCCATACCGCCATCATAGTGTAGCCTATTTAACAATAAAATATCGAAATTATTTTGATAATTGTTATATGTGAATAATTTTCGAGTCATACCTTGAATTCCAAGATCAATTCTATAACATCCTGTAATTAAACGTTTCAAAATTATCTTCAGAGAGTCATCAATACAAAATTTAACTTCTTTAGTATTTTAGCTTTCCATTTCCATCTTCTTCTTCTGAGCTTTCGCATCCAGAACCGGATCCCGAACCTGAGCCAGAACCAGAACCTGAACCTGACCCGGCGGCCGATGCACTCGAACTTGATGATGACGACGATGATTCCGAACTATCTTCCCCACTTCCACTCCCACTGTACCCAGATCTTGGTTTTTCATGAAAAAATGCAATCAATATTTGCAACACACGCTAAATTGTCTACATGCGTTAAAAATGTAAATATTTTTGGCGTTAAAGGGCACCCTGTGTCTTGTTGAGATTGTTTTGTTAATAATATACATATGTAAAAAAAATCACTTAAAATCGTAAATAGTAACTGAAGGGAAGAAATATTCTTACCCGGCACAGTAGACAAAGAGACCTAAAAAGGGATCCCAAATGCATTTATTGTATAATTTATATTTTCATTCATCATGATTAATTACCTTGCCAGTAATACCCGTCAACTGCAATCACCCATTCTGAGGAGGCAAGTCCCATCGCCACCATGATAGCTGCCACAATTCCGCATAATGACAGAACAGCTTGGACATTTGCCTGTTGACATTGCACCAATTATAGTGTGGTGAAAATGATTGGTAGACTTGAATGCGTTATTTTTTAGAATTACTGGAACGGGGTCGCCTATCTCCTCCTCCTCCTCTTCATCAGCTAAGGGTGCTTTTGGATCCGTAGTCTCAACCTCTCTGCAGAAAATAAATGATGTGCGTGTGAACATACCTAGTTCTGCATATGAACTTTGACAAATTACCCGTTTTCAGCGACTTGTGCGCCGCCTTTGTCAGGCATGATGGATGACTACCAAATTATCTGCAAAAATATATTATTTAATCTGTGGCAAAGTTAAGTGGCTTTGTATTTATGAGTTTCGCGATGTAGTTAATGTACGGAATTTATAAGGAAAGTAATATAAAATCACTCCTTTCACCACCTTGCAATTAAATTTCACTTTCTGTGTACGTGTGAGATGATGAACAATATGGATATAAGTGCTATTAGGAGAAGATGAATAGTAAAAACGAAAATCAATTTACCTAGACCGGATTATGGACGTTTGTTGCACCAAGCAATATAAGTTCTATGCTCTGTTTAGCTAAACATGCATGGCACAAGTAGGATAAATAAGGAGGCTACGTTGAGCCAGGATATAAGATGCTCCAAAAATATCTAGATTTGTAAAAATTGGCAAGCACATCTTTATTCTGTGGAAATGGGAGACACCGACCATGATGCGTTAAGATACTTCCCAGGCAATGTTAACATGCACATATTCAGCAATCTCAGACCGATATTGTCTCCTACACACGTTCGAACCATCTGCCATGTATATGAAAACCTCTCTTCGACGACGACGACGATGAGGATGATACTTTTCATCTGGCTGTTGGATGTTCGAATGGGAGATGATTTTAAGCAATAGGAATAAATGCTTCTACAACTGACACCTTATTTTCGTGTCAACGAAGGCTAATTTTAGGTAATTACGACAAGACACAAGACCGACATGCTGCCTTTACAGGCTGGCACGCATGAAATTTTATCTGAATCAATCCTACACACGATTAGATTTATTTTTGATTACCATAATTACATCTGTATCTGTACTATTTTCAAACGTGAAGAATGAATGTAGTCAGCAACATGACAATTTTTCAGGTCAAAGCTCAAACAAAATGTACCAAACGACGAATCTTGATTCGTCGTTTATTACATTTCATGCACCTCAACACCATCTCTTCTTGGGGAGCGAGTTTCTCTGATGTGACCCGTTCTCACGAGTGTGCAGTTCGTCTCACGCTCCGCAATTCGAACATTATCAACTCGTCGTGTTTGTAAACTCAAGCACGTGCAATCTGGAATAGCATAGCAAACTCGGTCGGAATTTGCAATGAAAGTTGCTCTGATACTCCAAATGCGACAATATTTTGCCGTGTTTGGTTAACTAGTTGTTGAGCTTGATCTGATCTGATATACTAGTTAAATATTATCAAATATTATAAACTGTCAAAACCCTCCTCCAAACATCAAAACTGCTTTTAATAATATCTGCTCACAGATATTAGGCATTCCAGAATATATGCATACATAATCTTGACTTGTATACGAATTAATATCCCATATTGCAGAATTCAATTAACTTGTGTTATTATTGATTCAGTTTCAATATAATCCAAGCTTAGAAAATGATGGAAAGTTTGTGTGGTTGCATAAAACAGCCAGACATCATATCGTAATGTTCAAATGAAAATGTTGTAAATTCTTGTGGCAGGCAACCTTGCAACCGAGCCGTTCTTTCACTTTGTGTGCACATAATGCCTAGAAATGAACAAATGAATATAAAATGAAACACGAACAATCATCGTCTAATAAATGACCATACATTTACTAGTTAAGCTCTAATCACGACTCAAATTCTAGCATCGTCGGAGGTGTACGCTGTCGATTCGTTTGCCATCGTTTCTAAAGTTTTAATATGGGTTTCCTTACGAGAGACTGCTCCAGATATTTCTTAGCCCTTTCTACATATTTACATTCTCTCTTCTATCTAGAGTTCTAAAACCGTAGTAAAGGAAAATAGCGGCTCGTTTCTCGTTTACTGGAAAGGAAACAAAAACAACGCAGTAGTCTCACACGCATTGCATTGCATTGCATTCCTCACTCTTATTACTTCCACAATATTGTTCCGTCAAATCAGGCAGTAATAATTGTCGATGCATTAATTTCGTCGAGATCAGTTGGAAATGCAAACTTGAAGCTATTGACACAACAATTTGTGAGTGTGTGTATGTATCGTTATTTGATAACAAATGTTTTAATTGTGCTGCGGTATTGTTTAATTTAAAATAGTTTTTTTTATCGTGATCATCATCATCAACAACTCGTATCCAGTTGCAAGAGATCATCTACCAGACACACACACGGAGGATGAGCGTAACTGCGTCGTTATATCTTACTCATCATCAGAGCAATGTTAAACTTTGGAACTCAGGACATTGAAACATTTGCCATTGAACGACTATCACCCGTATCGCAGATATCCCACTACAGTAACATACAACCGAAAGCATATACTTTGTAATATTAATATAACAGGGACATCACCACTAAATAACTACTTGGCAATTATTGTAATGAACCAACTCATTCAGTAAGGCCGATACGACTAATACTACGACCAGGACAGACAAATACATAAACAATACAACTTTACAAGTTACACACAGATAGACCAGTTTTCCTGTATTGAGCTTTGAACATACATATTTAAACAAACCCAGCATAGGCAAAAAATACAAACAATATTTGCCAACCAACCAGCTCGCAGAGAGATTTTAACCCTGCTACAGAGACATTAAATGTTTGTAGACAGCGATTACGAGATTACGACACGACCATAACCGCTGCTGGGAAGAAACTATATTTTTATTCTGAAATATTTCTGGATCAAGCAATTCTTATTCCGTCCACAGTGGGTGTGTAGTCATAAATATGTAGAGAACAAATTTCCGTCAAGACAATTCAGGCTCCGTACACCAAATTTACTGGAAGACTTACTGATAACTGAAAAGGAAAGCGTGGAAGGATAACTATAATAAAACTGAGCCGTCGTCTTCGTAAAAGAAAATGTAAACTAATCTTAAGTGAGAGAGGAGTGTCCAACGCTGCTCCAATAAAAGCAAGACTTGGTTGGTGAGGGCAGTATGGGTGGGTTGTATTAAATAGATGAGTTGTTGTTGATAACCAATATTTGTGGACTCTCTCCTTTCTACAGCAATTAATTAATGCAGTGACAAAGTGCCATCATTCATCTCGTTATTATTAAGAGCTCTGCACTATTTAAGACGCAGAGTGACACGTTCGAGGTTTAGTTAGCTCGCAATCATACTCGTGACAGTTATTTTCTGACAAAGGGAAAGTCGTCCTGTTTGTGACATGTTTTGAAGAAAAGTTTGTTGTGCGTCTAAATTTACGTACTCATCAACCACGATACTTGTGACTTCATAATACAAAAACAACAACAACAGCCCAATAGAGTCGCAAAGAAAGCCGGTGACATAAGACGAGCCCCCAATTTCATCAGTCAGGTCCAGATACTGCGATTGGGATTCTCTCATTCATATATTATTTGTTACAATAAATTAATTATTGTAGTCTGATCTTCCTGCCTCTTCCACCTATTACTTTTGAATTACCTCCAATTAAGCTGTTTATTTCACTGCTGCTAATTTTCACACTCGTAAATCATCTGAATTAAACATTTTTCATCTCTCTTTGTTGTCTCGTAAGAACTCAAGCTCTGAGCGGACTTTCTATGACATTGTGTACATCTTCCTTCTCTGTTCATAATAATCTGCAGTCTTGTGAAGCTAAAAGCTGTACAAATTTCACTGTGCTTATCTCGTCAGTAGTTGAAGTTAAGATAATTTGAAATCGACACGAACCTGTTCTTTGAGGTTTGGACTCCTCAACCTGTTGGATTATGTCTCAAAGGGATACTTTCATTCATCTTATAGCCGGAGGGTAATCAAAATCCCTACTTGTCATCCCTAACTGCTTTCCCCATTTGAATGCCATAAGCTCACCCACACATCGTTCTCGAACAATGTAAAAGAACGGAAATCCCAGCAACCCCGCCGGGCAGGTCACTCAACCACCAATCCGCCAACAACAACAAGATCGATTTAATACATCCTCGATTCACTTTGTTGATTTCCGTACTTTTGCCTATTTGGCTCTTTTCCAACCCAATAGAAATATGCATACATACGTATTACAAAAGGGCTTGTTTTCAAAACAAACGCAGCAAAAAATCTAGAAAGAATTGGATACTGATTTGTTTCATTATTTTGTGACAGAATCGCTGGGACCGCTGGGGCCGTGGTGACCTGTCCATTAGAAGTGGTCAAGACTCGTCTCCAGTCTTCCAACCCTGTTTTCGGCAACCCAAACACACCCGGTGGTGCCGTTTTTGTAAATGGACCTCCCCGAGGAAGAAGTAGCAGTCTCCCCTCCCACAACCAACACCGCCATCATCTTCATACCCTCAGTGCGGACAGAAGTCACATAAGATCTTCCACGAAAAGGCTGATCTCCACATGTGTCAACTGTGGACGAAATTCACATATTCTCGCCGTCGCAAGATCCATTCCTCCAAATCCGGTGCCCACTAGCAGCAGTGGCAGCAGCACCGTTCCAAAGCAGCTTGGCCTTGTGCAGTGTCTTCGGTAATAAACCAATATGCATACATACATATGCCCAACTATTTTTTGGTGCATGAATTTAGCAGTTGCCGTTGATGCGTATTTTTATAGTATTCTTATTATTCAAGAGCTTTTTTACGTAATAACTATTATTGTTGTGCAGTGTGTAATTTGCTAATGGAACGTTCTTTGCATGTCGCTTGAAAATCCATTATTGTAATTGTTTCTTAATTTTCTCCGTGTTTATACTGCAAGGATTTAATCGATTTTCCCAGAGGTGACCTTAGAAGAGAAAACAGCCAAACCCGAAAATATTTACTGTCATTATCTTTACTGCTTAAAGCTTCTCGAGCTAAATGTATTCTTAACATGAGACATGACTATGTGTCTGCTAAGATATGCATATATCTTTAGCAGAAGCAATCATTAATTCAATGATTACGTTGAGGAAATACTTATGCAGAATATATTTCTTTTTTTAAAAACAATTTATCCCTATTCTCTTATAGCCAGACAAATTCATTTGCAATAATTTTAATATTTTTTATGAATTGTTATGTATGAAACTTCAAACTTGATTCGTATATTTTCTTTAATTTTTCAATCGTTTTTATTCATGGGATGAAGGAAGTACATTGGTCCTCCTAGTTAATAGTTAGGAAACTCGCAAACATGCATCTTTCATTTTATTGCTTCCTCAATGCTTAATGTTTGTGCATTCACTCTCCACATGTTTAAGCTGTGCATTCGGAAGGTCATATGGACAAAATCATAGATAGAAGTAGACCTTGCTGTCGGTTAACACTAAAACTGCAAATTAAGCTGCCCTTCGTTGATTAGTTAATTTGTTCGAGCTACACCTCAGTGTTTCAATTTAGCCCTTTTGAATAATGGGAAATGAAACGTTGGCAGTTTACTTTTTAGAAGCAATTTCGTTTATTCTATACTTGGAATATGCATACGCATTTATGTTTCGACGACGTGCAGAAACAGGGGTAGCCAGTTTCTCTATTTAGGACATTGGTCAACAACAAATTATGGCATCCATACGTAACGAAAACTGTATTTGTCTTTCTTGTTGAGAAAATGCAAATTTTCATTAAGCGCAAGGTAAAAATAGACTAGACTGTTTACTCTGAAACAACATTTTGAGATTAACAACGGGATAATGTGCTTGTACATTTATCGATGGTGCACTTAAGTCTGTGTTAAATCAGTCATATTTGACAGTTATTATTGAGATACAGTAATGTTCTTATGCCTTTACTCTAGTGCTTGTTAATTGCGCAAATATTTACGATTGATTCAATTTGATTAAACTGGTTAATAATTAACAGCGGGCGACAAAAATGAATGAAATGCATGCATACGTATAAATCTACTGGTGCCCTTGTTTCGATATCTCTAAACTCTGGATAACAAATTATCTCCAGTTAATTCTAGTTTGAATTGGTCTCGTGTAAGAAATATAACAAACTCAGCCAAGTTTTGGGTATATATATGCAGAATATTAAGACACATACATTCAGGTTCAGAGACGTATCAGTAGGAATTGGCTGCTGACGTAAATGTTTGAAAGAACGAAATCTAAATCTACATTTATGATTGATATGATGCATACTGATATTATACATCACGTGGATTTATGAAAAATCGCAGAAATATAGATTTTCGGGCGTTTTATTGTACACATTTTTGCAAAAATGTACGCAATGAAATACAAAAATACTGAAAAAATTGATTAGGTCTTCCACGCACGAGTTAGAAAGCACACCTCCAAAGTTTGAAACTTGTGGCAGAAAAGGTCGAAAATCAACAAGTATTCGTCACACGATTATAACTAATTGAATGTCTATAGATACACATATGTACAACATGGTTGTTAGAATCAGCAATCAATCTTACAAAAACCTGATCAAGAGTCGACACGAATTTAAATGTCACGTATACAAATAATTACGCCCTTTTTAAGATGATTATATTAGTTCAAGTAGGTTTATCCAGAAATAATTGGTTCTGAACGTACATATTATTATGTAGTAAATGATACCATTTGTTTATATGGCATGTGGTACTCACGTCTGCAAATTGAGTCCAGTTTACGTAAATACATTCATCCATCTAAAACTGGGAAGATTAAAAATTATTTACTCGAGTGGAAAAGTTTTAACAAGTTTGAGCAGCATTTGTAGTCAGTAATTTCCAGATTTATGAAAAGGAAAAAGGGGTCTCGCAGGTTAGGTTAGGTAGGTTATCAAATTTCGTGGACCCATTCGCAGACTGGGCAAACAACTTGCATGGATTCTGATCTGGAGACGAGAGTGGAAGATGAAAAATAATGAATGGTCCTCTTGTTTTATGTCTCCAGTCACCAGAAATTCTGGTCCAGAATGTCCCAGCCAGAAGCATGAGGGCATGAGGAACTTGGCATGTGGACGAATCAATATCTTTTAATAAATACATGACAGTTGTGGCCACTTTTGTTTAATAAGGAAGGCTTTGTTGCACACTGGACTGTATGTGATTACGCCAGTTTATACACGTACATAAGTAGTTACGCCTGTACGGACATGATGAATTCCGTATATATAAAAATACCTTTATCCAGTTTTTACTAGCTTTTTATTCCGTAAATTTTCCACTTTGATGATAATCGATTCGTCGATGTCTTTATTTCCATTCATTGATCTTAATTTTAGGAAAATTACAGAGTTATTTTTGTTAAATGTTAAACATTTACTCGAGATAATTCGCCAATTTTAAAAATATATATTGTACTTTAATGTGTTCACGCACTGAAAATGAGCATGTCGTATTTAATATCGGATAAATTTACTTCTTATACCTACATAATAAATTTATGAGGATGACCCTTTCATGTATGATTTATTACACCGTGTAGTCCAAGTCTATTTTTAGTGTGTCAGATTCATGTATATATATAATGCTTATGCAATATTTACACTTTTTGATTGCGTGTCATATGTTTATATATTGCATATTGCTCGATGCGATTTGATGATTCTGTAGTTTTATGGACACCTCCAATTGATGAAAACTTGCTTTATCTTGAATTTACTGCTTTCTTACTTAATACGAACGTCTGAGTTTATGTATGAAAATCTGTTAATGATGCATGCTGGCGCCTGCATTTTTTACAAAATAAATAAATACATATTGGAGAGTGTTTATAGCTTCAATTGCTAATAAACGTTTTTGTTTTCCAGACTTATTATTGAAAAAGAAGGACCAAGGGCCTTGTTCAAGGGTCTTGGTGAGTACTATATTTAAATTTTGAACATTTATTAATTGAATGCATTTTCATTGCTCAACAAAGTATCAATTAGTCACAATTAGATATACAGTATTAACGTATGCTATCAATTGCATAAATATTTACAAGTCTACCTTTACTAAAGATAAGAACAGTTCACTGGAACAAGGGGGGTATTTTCTACAATGCTTAGTTGAATTAGGAGGTGGGGGGGGGTGTGGTCGTATATGTAGGGCTAGTGACCGAATTATACCAATGTGTATTAATAAAAGAGTGAGGAATAACAATGCATTGTTTCATGTCGAGAGTACACCAAGTATTTAATGTCAGTTATATCCAGAAGTAGGAGGGAAACTCGCATCTCGACTGGATTTTTCAGCTCTTGTAGAAGATAAAGCTAGCGCTGCAACCCGAGTCAAATTGCTGGCATAAGGGACATCGGCTCAGTCTGTAGCATAAGCACGCGGGTTCAAATCTCAGTAGAGGCTAGTTTACATTTTTGCAAGCCAGTTTTGACTAAAATGCTTTTAACTTTGCCATAAGAGGTCAAGTTCTACTAGTAGGATATTCAAACCGCACCGACAGCGTGTGGGGGTGTGGTCAGTATGAAAAAAATGATGATATTGACCACTCCCCAATATCTTCCCGGGGGTGGTCCGGCTATGTTGCTAGTAGAACTTTACCCCCTATACAACGGTATAACATTGTGGTCAAAACTAGGTTGCAAAAAGTAAATTTATCTGTACCGTGCTGCGGTTTGAACCTGGAATACTTGCAGTCAAGCCGAGCCGATGTCCCCTACGCCAGTGTGTTTGACCCGAGTTGCAGCGCAAGCTTTATCTTCTACAAGAGCTGAAAAATCCAGTCGAGATGCGAGTTTTCCTCGTACTTCTGGATATAACTGACATTAATTGACTTTATCTAAACAGGACCGAATATCGTGGGGGTGGCGCCTTCCCGAGCCATCTACTTCTGCTCTTACTCACAGTCTAAGAAAACCCTCAATCAGATTTTCCCACCCGACTCGCCAATTGTTCATATTTTCTCTGCAGCAACTGCCGGTTAGTTAATATGTTTACTTTCTTAATATGTTTATATCAGATCGTAAGTAAGAACGTAAAAAAGAAAGAATTTATAATATTGGACTTTGACTTTGACACACCAACGCAATGTACTTTTAACTTCCTTGATCGTACCCGGCATCCGATTTCTTTTCACGTCGGTGATGATGTAATCAACCACATTCTATTTCATTATCATGCACCAACGTCAAGTTTACAACTGAAAAGTTAGTGCGTAGAAAAATTGGCAACTATTCCAGTCTATGCATATGCCTACACCTGCCAGAAAGTAGTAATGGCTTTTAAAGTTTTAATAAAAATATATACTTATTATAATTCGCAATGTGGATAAATTTAAAAGGTACACTTTCTTCTTTTTTTGTTTTTATTGATGTACCTTCTTAAGATGACGATAGGTGACTCATCGTCTCAAAAAATCTCACGGCACAAGACATGGAGTAAATTAGCCGAATGAGCCGAATTATTTTATTATTTGGTCCCACTTATTTATATTTTGGCGTAAAAATCATACGAAATTGACTAATGTAAATGCCAAAATAAGAATAAGTGGTAACAAATAATAAAATAATTCGGCTCATTCGGGTAATGTACTCCATGTAACGTGAAACGGAGTTTAGGTTACTTTCCACACCATGATTTCAAAATTGTTTTCTAGAGGAATGGAATGGAAAATAGAAAATCTATCTGATCCAGTTGTAGTCAGTAAGCTGATTAATAGGATGGCGATGATTTTAAAAAAAAACATAAGCCAATTTTTTGGACACCCAATTTTTCTGAATGCCTTTTAACTGGAGGGCTTATCTTGGGTCTCCTCCTTCAAAACTTGATAAACTCTGGAGTGCATATTTTTAATAAATTGGTACTGACCTGGTCTACAAATGGATCTGATAGAATTTAAAAATAAATTCCCAGAACGGAGAAATGCATAAAAGTGTTCAGATTTTTAGACCTGTGATGATGAGTCACCTAATCCTACGTTAAACTGCTGTTATCTTTTTTGGGATGAGCTGACCTTCAAATGTATGTATATTGCTCAAGAAGCCAAACTTTGAGAGTGATCATGACCATTTAATAGTTTGTTGGCATTTGTCACAAAATTAAATCTACACATTTGCCAATTTATGTCAGTTTGACCTTTTCATATCGGTGTTCATTTATGTTTTCTCGACACTCTGTACGATGTAATGTTCAATAGAATGCATATTTTCATCAAGTTTAATGTATATGAAGCTAATAAATAGCCCATAATTTGGCAACACGAAAATTACTTTTGGTAGACTTTGCACTGGACATGTAGACTATTTCTCAACCCAAAAGTCTGAAAAGTTGATTGATTCTATGAATGCAACTACATAACTTATTGGTTTAAATGATAAATAAATCGTTATTACGGCCAATCATAGAAAACATAGGTTACCGTAAACGAGTCTGAGTGTTAATTTTAGAAAATGGGGTTTGCATATGTCGGCATTTGTCAGTCATATACATAATCTTAAAGGTATAATTTTTTCCTGTATGAATTGTTCAACCATTATAAAGTGTGAAACATTCTATTCTGAGACGATTGACGAGCGACAAGTTTTACGTCAATATGGATATTCACGAACAGCCTGAATGATAGTTAGCAACTCTGTTTAGTTGGTACTTGGTACTAGTTGTGACGTGTATGTATGTTTCGCCAATGTATAAAGTAAGGTAAGCAACCAGACAGGCGCCAGGGCGCCACTATGCCAAGTGTGCCAGAAAAATGATTCCAAATTTGTTTACGAAAAAAATCTAGAACAATGTACAACACTATTTTTTATTATATTTTTCATTACTTTCAGGCGTTGTTTCATGCACTACAATTGTATGTTTTTTTATAGGATTCGTTTCATGCACGGCAACGAACCCGGTTTGGTTTGTAAAAACGCGATTGCAATTGGATCATAATCGCCAACAGTCAATTAGCGAGACAATACGTAAAATTTACAAACAGGGAGGAATACTCGGGTTCTATAAAGGAATCACTGCATCTTACATGGTACTACATACTTTGTATTACTTATTTAGTGCATTGTATTATTAAGCTCTTGGCATTATTATGCCTATTTTACCTGTTACAAATAAAATAATAGATCATGAGTGAGAGACAGGGACTGAGTGGATCAACTAATTTTCAATCACTATCGAGTAAATAGGTCGCGTTTTTACCCACATCTATTTACGTCTCCATATATATCGTGATATGAATGCTAATCCTTTATTTCAATTTTACTGTTTTTTTCTTGCAGGGCATTTCTGAAACGGTTATTCATTTTGTAATTTACGAAGCTGTGAAGAAAAGGCTGAACCAATGGTCCAGGTCCAATGAGACTTTGGCAGATGCTGAGAGAAATCCGGATGAGAAAACTAGCAAAGACTTTTTTCAATTTATGGCCGCTGGAGCAATTTCGAAGACTGTAGCTTCAGTTGTCGCATATCCACACGGTAATATTTACTTCTTTACCATACAACAATTTATCCTAAAGTCAGACACTTCACAGATGTATGTACATAATCACCAATGACTAAATGTGAATACTCTTGCCTGGCTCTGGCTCTTGTCCAAGTCGTGTCACTTTGTATGTATAGACAGGCTATAAACATGTGAAAAAGGTCATCTTAACTCTGACCTCAAATAGTGGGTCATGCATAAAAGTCACCCAGTTTAGCTCAAGGGCTTAAGTTATGTTCCAAACTATGTAATTATACGAAATTTAGAATTGAAGGGGTATTCGTATAGCTAATTATATTCATTATTTCCCCTTACACACTTATTACTTACTTGTTGATATTGTATATTTGCAGAAGTCGCAAGAACACGTCTTAGAGAAGAAGGTTCCAAATATAAAAGTTTCTGGCAGACCTTGTCCCTTGTAAGGCTTAGGATTATTTATTTATAAATTAACAATAAAATCTAATCAAATTCATTTTTGGTGTACAGACCAGACAAGAGGAAGGATACAGAGGATTGTACCGTGGATTAATGACCCAGCTTATTCGCCAGATCCCGAACACTGCAATTATGATGAGCACGTGAGTTTCAATTTTATTACAAGTTCGTCAACAACCAATTTACTAGAACAACTGTAATTCATTTGAATAGGTACGAAGCCACCGTCTACCTCTTTACCAAATACCTCCCATCAAATTCTGACTCGTCGAATATTGTCAGCAATGTTGATCTCATCAACAATGATGATGGGTGTTGCGATGTTACGTTTGAGGTGGACACAGTCACACACGAACGACATTAGTGTTATCAATAAGACTGGCGTTATCTTACTTTTACAATAAAATTCGGCTGCAAACAATCCCGGTTGTACTGTGTCGTCTATGAATAGGAATTCAACTACAGTAGACAAATTATGGTGCACATACTACTTATTCGAAGACTGAAAGTGCTAATTAGTGTTGAATGAAGCTATTTTAACAGTTTCCTAATACTTGAGGATAAATTAGCAGCAGTTTTACATTTGATTGTAGAAGTAGACTTAACTATTTTATACTGTTTGTCGTCTTCTATATGCCGAACACGAACGCACGATTGTAATGCATGCATATTTGGATGACTGACTGAGATTATTTTACATATATGTAGCAATTTGCAAAGCTAAGAAAACTTTTTCATACAATTGTGCATATAAAGGTTGGAAGTACATAGATTTTCCATCAACAAATTTCATTTTTTAATAAAAAACCGTGTACCTTCAGTGCACAATTGTACACACAAATTTTCTTACATACAATTACATGTACGTATTTAGATATGAAACGTTTTTATTTAGAGCATGATATAATTGTATGTTATAACCTACATATCTGTATATATATTTATGCATACAGCTTAATCGTTTACTCTGTAGAGCAGCGACTCGACTTTTCCATTTACACAAATAGTTGAAGTTCTAGATTTTGTATATATAGATTTTATGAAAAATTCATGCAAAGCTTCGTAACTAATTTGCATGGAACACACACATAATCTTTAATATTTAGTTTGGAAAGCCTTGCTGAAGAACTGACTGGTATTTTATTCTAAAGTATTCTTTAGTTTGTATCCTATTTTTATTTCATCTCCACTCGCCGGAAGAATATATATGTGATTGATTATGCGGCATCACTGACCATCTCGCTGGAATTATCTAGTCAAAAAAGGATGGTGGTGTGTGGTGTGGAGAAAGCTCATCCAAGCTACAAGTACCAGTTGTGGTGTGGTTACTATTTATTCATCACCATTATCATTATTATTACTAAATCACCATCAAAAATAAGCAATCGCTGTTACGTACGATGAACTATATACATACGTTAAAACGTAAATATGTATGCCGTTAACAAGGCACCCTGCAAACTTGTTGAGATTGTTTTGTCAATAATATATCAAAATCAACGTAAAATCGAAAATAGTAGCTCAAGCGAGTAAATATTCTTTATACATAGAAAATATCACTATAATATAATAGACCGTTATTTGATAAATGAGTAATGATGTTACTAAAATGAAACTTATGAAAGAGGAAATAAAACAAAATGACATGAAAATTATTGAAAACATCAAGTTTTTTGCATTTTTGGTTCACAATGTACCACAATAAACTTCATTTTTTTTTACTATAATATCCAACTCTATGTTATAAGGATCCAAGGGGGATGGACATTTGCTGAGAAATGAGAGAGATGCCATGGGTGAAAGTTATCGGAGGGTTGCGACTGGTTGCGAGGAGAAAGTACGTCTCAACTTCCTCGGGTTTGAGACTGGCTTTAAAGGTCCCGCCGCCCAAATCCCAGTTTCGTTCCAATCAAGAAGGGTTGCTTTTCCTTGAATAATGCCACTTGCATCGGAAAAAGTCAACAAAAACAAAATACTAATAATTTCGGAAATATTAATCATCTTTAATATTTATTTCCAATATATCGGTGTCCTTTTGGTTCATCATAGTGGAAGTTGCATGAAATCAAGAATTCAGGACTGAAATATAAGACTGAAATCGTGTGTAGTCATTTATTTTAAAACTGTGTTTAATCGCTAATTCCTACGTCTTCTGAAACCTGGTACTCAAGCATCAAATAAGACGATAAGTAAATAACAAAGCGACAGCATTAGATTTAACACAGTGTAAAGAAATGTAAGTTTAATTTACTCTGAATTTTATTAATAGTGAAGTTTGTATGCATGATTATTTCATATATTTAGTCTCTTGTGCCTCAGTTTTCACCTTATAATCCTTACCCATTTTCTATGTTGAATTGAATGTATCATCCGTTTGCAGGTGTTATCGTTTACTATTTAAGATCTTTTATGCAAATTTTTGATGTTTTACTACTTCCTCTACACTCTAATTGTCCCTGAATTGAACCAACCAACATTTTGAGACTAAATATAATCTTAATTTAAAATATTTATGTATCTTCTTATATTTCAGGGAAACAAAAGTAGATCCTCTTCGCCAGCATATTTTGGAGGCAGTCGAATGTCTTCGACAAAGAAAATGTCGCCCTGATCGAGAGTCCATTACCCATTATGTTCTCAGAAAATTTGGAAGCAACATCAATGAGATCAACAATGAACTCGAAAATTGTGTGGACATAAACATTTTAATTAAAGTCGAATACAAAGGAACAACCTCATACCGAAGCCCTCACAGTTTTGGTAAGTAGATTTCAGCATAAATATGATTCCGTTTTGAGTAGCCTGACTATATTTTTATCTATTTGTTATTAAATGTATTGTTATCTTTTTAGATACTAAAAATTCACCCCTGTTAACCAAGCATTCAAAAATTTTGAATTCGTCGAGAACAACTCGGTTAATTCTAACGGGTATTAATGAGCTTTTGGTAAAAGACCCCAACTACACAACGTCGGGTGTACCTTTCGGGGAATTGAGACATAAGCTTGTGGAATTGGACGGCGTTCGATTCACCGATGAATCCATGAGCGTTGCTTTGGAACGAGAAATTAGCTGTGGAGGAATTAACATGGCTAAGTCGGATTATTTGACAGAGTCATTACGTATATTTCCAAAGGATTTGCCTGTCCCTTCAGACATGCACCTGGTCATTAGTCTCAACCCTGACGACTCTGTTGAAATCGAAAGAGAAAAGAAACTAAAGAAACCTCGTAAAATGAATCTTGAAGGGACCGAAGGTGGGACGACGATAAAAAGACCTCGAAAATCTACGTCGAAACAACCAGAAGTTGAGCAACAAGAAGGCGAGATTGATGACCAAATACCAGGGGATAATTCTGAGCTTGTGGGACTTAGTGAAGATGGAGAGGAGGAACATGAAGGTGGAGAAATGAACCCTCCTGCTCCTCGGAACGATTTTCCAAAATTGGTTCCTGTGGGAAGAAAAATTGTCGCAGAGAAGGTTGCTGAACAAATAAGGAAAAGTTATGAGAGCACGACTGAATTTGAAACGACATCTCAAATGATGATTAAATTAGCTGAAGCCGTTGTTAGTAAGCAGGTTGAAACTACTGCAGTATCAGAACAGCACGCAAAAGGGCCTTCACTTGTCCTCGCTAGCAGCATTGTCAACCATTCCAGTGACGATGACATGAAAAAAGAGACTGAGGAGGACAACCTAACGCAATCCAATGGTGAGGCTGAGAAATTGATGGAAATCAGTACTAATATGTCCGATGAAGAAACCAATACCGCTGGGGGGGCAAAGAAGAAAAGAGGACGCACATCTGCGAAACAAAATAATAATAAAATGCCAGTTTCTGCAACTGCTGTTACTCCTCCCTCGAGAAAAGGCAAATCCGAAAACAGCGAAACCACGCCAAAATCAAAAGTTGCTGAAAAACCAACTCCAATAATGACATCACCACCACCACAACAACAGGGACTCACTCGAAGCAAGAGGGATAAGGTGACAAAGTAGCCCATATCAACAACTTGTGCCATTAATGACGGTTATAGAATAAGTTGTAAATGTAATTTTTAGCGCAAGAAGCAAGTTTTCGATCCTTCTGATCTCCCAAATACATATTCCAGAACTGCAAACAAACCGACTCGGTTGTCAGATACTACATTATTAACGAAAAAGCCAGAAGCATGTTCTTCTGTTTCGAATAAAAGGAAAAGGAAAAGTGTACCTGCAATTGTAGATGAATTACCACCACCACCTACCACGAAGAAAGCAAGCGTTAGCAAAGGTTTAAGACGAAAGGCTGAGTCGTCGAACATCGTTATTAACTCGACAAACAAAACTAAATTGGAGTCTTCTGACGGTACGCAACGCCTTGACCCTTAATTTAGCTTTACGTTTGAGATTTATCGGTCTACGGTAGCTTTATTAAATATTGAGATACTCTTTATTTTACCAGATAGTTTAGCAGTAGCATTAAGAAAGTCGTGTAGTAATAATTTTATAACTTCTTATACTAAATTGACTCAAAGGTTCAAACGAAATGGAAATAATCGAGGAACAACACAGCAATAAAAACAATACGGAAATCTCATTATCGAAATCGTCCCCAATCGACGTTAAAATTGAACATGCAATATTAGTTTGTTCTTATTGTCAGACTTCCCAGAAAATTGATACAGCAACAGACGTGGAGGATGACTTTCTCTCGTGTTCCTCATGTAATTCGCACTGTACGTATTTTACGTTTACTATATGAACATATACATATATATATCTTTATATAATCACATTGCTCCAAAAAAAGACGTTAATGAATATATTTATTTATCCAAAAACTTATTCTATTCAATAAAATTTATATCTTTTCAAACTATCTTATGTATTTGTATTCACGTTTTTTGTTTTCCTGCAATTTTGGATCATGGGGAGCAGTAATAAATATCTTGTCGTTTTTGCTTTCAGTTCATCCTACATGTATGGACTACTCACCAGAATTGACGAATCGAATTAAGGAATTTATTACATTGAGAAATATGAATTGGTCCTGCATTCAGTGCAAGTTGTGCAAAATTTGTAATGCCAAGGTTATGGAACGCCCTAATTCAGAATTGCAACCAGTTCAGGTCCGTGTAACAGTATTCTGCTCGTACATACATGTGCATATACGCTAAAGTATAAATGAATGTGTGCACTTCAATTCTTGTATTGGCAGGGAGCGACGAAAGAAGTGAAAACTTATTCAAGCACTGCTCTCGAAGTTATCCTTCCACGTGAAATCCTTCTTTGTGAAAATTGTGATGCCGGATTTCATGCAAAATGTAATGGAGAAATTATATCAAGAGAGTCAGAGAGTGCGTGGGTTTGTTCCGCCTGTATAGCAGAGAAACATCAAAGTTTGCCAGATCCACCAGCCCCTGACCTCACTTCTCCTGCTAGTAAAAGTATTAAAATATCTTATTTACTTTGGCATTTGCCTCGTATTTATTACTACTGGTAGCATTACTACATAAAACTCGTATGATTTCAATTAGCTGGTCGTAATAATCGGAAGTCTCCAGAAGTTAAGAAAGTCGTCAAATCAGAACCATCATCGATAGTTCCAGATCACCCAAGCTCATCAACATCTTCTGCTAATGTATCCAACTCTTTTCCTGACGATTTGCGACTTTGGTCAAAGGAAGAAGTCGAAAGATACTTTATTCACAAAGGATTGAAAGAAGAAGCATCAAATCTCTTACATCTGGAAGTGGATGGATACGCTTTACTGTTGTTACAACGTGAAGATATTGTTAGTGGAATGGGCTTTCGTTTGGGTTAGTGCAAATTTTTTCTATCGAGAGGTTTACTTTCTATATTGAAAATGTCCATTAATTGATGAGGGTTTCAGTTTACCGTACTCATTTTCATATTACTTATTGTAGGTCCTGCACTGAAAGTGTATCGCTTAATAAACGAACTTCAATTGAAAGCTCCTATGCAACCCCATTGTACATGGCCCGAACTGGAAGGTGAAAAAGCCGATTAAGTGATATATCAGTAATGGTATTCATTTACTTTTCGGTATTCATGATGAAGCGTGATCCATATTGTCATCATGCTTGTTTGTCCAGTTATTTTGAAGACTTACTGGTGAAAACTAAACCTCGTATAATTATATTTGATATATATTGCATTCAATGTATCCAACTACATTTTTTAAATCATGTCAAATTCAATTCCTATCCTTTCCTTTCGTTAACAAATTATGGAAATTGTTTTTGTTGCTCCGCTCGAGTAATACTATATGAACGTTACTACACGTTATTATGTAGATTTTATACTTATTAGAACTAACTGTTCAAGCTCTAGTAAATCATTTTAAGTAACCGAATGGTGTTTATTGATTTTATTATTAATATATGACACTAAATTTGGGCGTCCGCTTATCTTGCACATATTTGTTATAGACATGTCGAACATTGCTAAGGACGTAATTATGAACTATGCATCTTAGATTGTGCAAATAATTTAGAAGAATTATGCCTGATACGTTGGCACGGCTTTGCTATACATGGCTTCATCGAAAACGATTTCCCCTCCGCATCCATGAAACTCGACCCAATCAATCACATTTCCTGTCGCACCAAACTCACAATAACCGTTACCGTTTTCAGCTTGTCCAAAGTAGTCATACTTTTGATTTTCCTCATTTTTCTTATCTTCCTCATCAAACATTCCATTTGCAATTTGAATCTCTATCTTCGAAAATGGGGGCGACGAGTCAAGGTCGACTCGTGGTTTCCTCTTAAACTGATTGTTAGGTTTGACCGGAGCTTCACATATCGGGACTGCTGATTTAAAATCTGGGAGTTTCCTATAGTCATACACGGAAGGATTTATCCTAGCAATTCCATCCCTGACTTGTCGGAGAACCTAAATATAGTAAACATAATAAAAAGTGTACATTTTAAAACCTCATTGATTGACTTTGGCAAGAATACCTTGTAAATGAGGGGTTCATCAGAACACAGTTTATATTTTCTACAACTGAACGGTTGAACGACATTTTCAATCAAGTCATCTTTGAGTTGGAAACCTAGTTCTGGAAACACCTATCATACAACATCAAACTAATCATCATCGGAACGTTGAAAATTTCATCAATTTGGTGACCTTTCTGTTTAATGCGTCCCAGTTGGATCTCTTATTTCTACTACTATTCCACGGGTAATACTGACGAACATCGCATATGTCCGGACAGTAGTGGGCAATTATTTCCGCTACCGCAACTGCAATCAACGCCAAGTAAAATGAAGAGATTTTTTTAGAGAATTGTCACTTTATATTATGTACGAACCTCCATCAGACAGTTCTCTGTCCATCCTTTTGTAGCATTTCTTGGAAAGTGGAACAGAGCTTAACCATTTTGTTAGGTCACGAAGTTGTCCTTCCGGACTTGATAGTTGTGCTCTTATCTCCGCGTCGATTTTGGCTTTTTCGGCGGCCTTGGCTGCCAGACGAGCCTCCTCCTTTGCCCGCTCCTCCTCTCGCACCCGAGCTTCCTCCGCTAGCCGAGCCTCCTCCTCCGCTTTCTTCTTCGCCTTCAGTCCATCCTTCGCACTTCGGATGGGCATTTCTCGTACTTTGGAATTTTGAAGCGATAACTTAAATTTGGTTGGAATAAAACTATTGAATTATACTAAAATATTTTGTATCCATCATAGATTTCATGCGGACAAGGAAGAAGCGTTGCTAAGATCGTTTCATTTTTTTAGGATTCATGCTAGATTCTTCGACTTCGATCATGTTACAAGATTTCCCCGTTGTATAGCAAAGTATCATGATTTTATTCAGTACTAATCGTGTACTATTTATTGATAAATTACGCTGGCATTGTAAGGCTGATGTCTTCTACAAAAGCAAAAACAACTTTCATTGTATAAACATCCTCCTCCTTTGTAATATCCTATGCTTTGGCAGAAATCATAGCAGCTAACAATTCCTCCATTTGGTGGACATAACTCAAGTTGGGCTGCATTCTAAGAAATTGGTGTAATAAATTAGTATTACTAATAATAAACCACACAAATCATTACTTGCACAGTTTGATCTAAACTGGCTCATAGTGTTTTTTTAAATAAATTCTTACGATTGGGCATAAACATTGACATCTAGCTCCTATCAGGCGTGAGAAGGGTTTGCCTCCATCCCTGCACCGTTCGAAACACCAATTTTCCACGAAGCGTGGAAGAAACATGGACCAACGGGAGAGGTCAGCGTAATATTCGTCGTCGTCCTCAATCAACTCGGATGCAGTCGTAGAGTCGTCTGGTCTGACAAGTCCGAGAGCATTCTGAAAGTATGCAGCATTTTTATGCTAAATATAAAATTTAAAGAAATACGTGTATGACGTGTATACGTGTAAACTATGCTAATAAACTAACCACCAAATATATGATCCATACTATTTTCGAGACTATGTTATTTTTTGCCATGTAAAAACTTTAATATATAGAATAGCTATGTGAGAAAAATTATGTTGTAGGTATGTACATTTACATACGCGATTTGATAATTCAAGTATGCACACTATATATGTAACTAACGAGAGATTAACACTGATACATATTCTGATCTGTATAACAGCTCGTAAGATTTTACGGTACTTATTTTACCGTCTTCCTCATTCTTCCAGTTCAAATAATTGGCTGTCAATGAAACACATATGTATTTACATATAGTGAAAGTCGATCTATTTTTACAAACTTAAGATTAGTAAATGGGCTTAATATATCGAACCTTAATAAGGACATGCTTCAAAGTACACCTTTTGCACTGACGTACAAAGTACATGTATGTACGAGTAGGATTTATAAGAATTATGATGATGCGTATCCAGATCTCAGCAATTGAAAGAAAGTAGCACGTTAAAAAAAGACTTGTATGAATTAATCTAGATATTATCGTCATTTCCGAATACTAAATTATGATATTTGCATTTGCGTCATTTATCAATGTCACTCATTTTTCACTACTGAGTAAGAATAATAAAGAATGAATTCCAGTGATTTGGTTGGACATTAATTTTATTTAATACACAGGAGAACTGATTAATTGGAATATAATTGAAGTTTTGTGTTTGTGTAGTCTGTTTTTTTTTTAATTTAATGATAATATTTTTTAAATGAGCAGTTTAAAACCATTTGTTTGTCTACTTTGTCTGATGTGTTTATCACAAGCTTTTCCATTATTGGAGGAATCCGATGGTATTGTGTGTAAGGCTAAATATAAAATATCAAAATTTTAAATTTAAAAAAGGATAATTTGAAAATGATTTGTTGTTCGAGATTAAACCAATTGGTTTCTAATTAATTATAGATGACTCATATGCATCAACACCGTGTCCTTTGGACAAATCCATTAACGAAGAAAATATATTAACCAATTATTTGTGCGAAGAAGAACAATATGGTAACATCATGTGCAGTTGCAATTCTTGTCCCAATTGTCCCGAGTACAAAGCTACAGCAGACCAAGACGAAGATCATGAGGAGTTGGTAGCTTCAAATTTTCAAAATGAGAGAAGTGCTGGTACCCCTCCATCTACAGCAGTACCAGCAAAGTCCACTGCCCCACCGAGGAAAATTGTATCCACGCCGCGGTGGTTATCATCAAATCAAGGAAATCATGCTAACCACAATCCGCCCCACAGTGGTCGAGATGGCGAACACTTGTCACTGCCACTCAAGAGACTTGCAAATCACACACATTCAAATAATAACTTTATTAGATTTGGGTAATCTTACCACACATGTAAAAATTATCATACATACATAAAATCAAATCATTTTAGAATAATAAAAAACTGTAAACTGCCGATTGTATCTACTAGTAGTTATTGTGACAGTATAAGTATTTATTCGCATATTGGTATTTCATGAGAAGGCAAACATTTGGCAGATTTATCATACCCTTGTTCAAATACTTGGCGTTTCTTTCGGGTGGCCGGATTGGATAATTCCTCAATTTTCTCAGGGCGAGGTAAATCCCAGGGATATTTCGACAACAACTGCGAGCTTGCTGCGCAATATGCGACTGCTGTTTGAACGTTTTCTTGGTTTCCAAATACTCCTCCGTACACGATACCAGTCGCAGTTCCATTTCTCCTGGATATGTTAAAACATGATCAGGTTGAAAATATCTATTTTCAAGTCCAAAGAAACACAGAATGTCGCATAATTTTGTCTTACCAAATGTCATTGATGGGATTTTGAAATAAATTAATCATCCACGTGGTGAACCGGTGGTGATCATTGTAATATTTGCTAAAATGGTCGAAACAGTAGCTGTGGGCATTTTTGAAAATCTAAAGTACATACAAAATAAGAGTTATTATCGGATTATTATGATCGGATGTCATGATCATGTCAAAAGCCTCCATTCTGATATCTGTTGCTTATGTATCTCTGGATGGCGATTGAAAGGTTAAAAAATTATAATACATCACAAATTAACCTGCCAAGTTGTTTCAACGATAGGTTCGTAATTCTCAAATCCACCATACATATTAATTTCAAGGGAGCAATTCCCGAAAGCACAGTAAAGTCCAGATACAGGCTGAAAAAGTAGAACATAAGAGTTCTCAAAAAATTAAAACCATGAAAATTGATTAAAAAGCAAGTAAGCCTTCCATAATAATTCACTCCACCCTCTCTTTTACCCATATATGCAATGCCTTTTCTGAACATGGGTCAATCGTGAAGTTGAACTCTGTAGCATTCTCAATACAAGATTGTAGACTTTCCACAATTCTGGTTTTTGCTTTCACATTTTTTGCACTTTCTGGAAATCTCAAATGTTTGTTTTGAATTTTAATAAAAGTTGACACTGCCAGGTCGAAGAAGTCGGGGTTGACATATCCCGCAGGACAAGTTCTCTTCATCAACTCTTTTGCTAATTCAAGGAACTGATAAAGCGGAGACTTGTACGGTTTCAAAGTCTGAATATTTTGTTCAGTTTTCAATTTCACTAAAGACGACTTCTTTGCAGTCGAACTTTTCTTCCCCCACAGCGCTCCACGTCTTCGTCGGTTTGGCTTGTTCTGCACGTCGCTCGTAGACGTCCATGCAGTTTCCAAAGTGTCATTATCAGCCACCTTGAGTCCCAAAATATCGTCCAACTTTGCCTCCAGGAAATTCCAAATCTCACTTGCGATTGCATCACTGATGCCACCTTTGGTCGTATTCCCATCTGCACTTGAATTGATGGGCGAATAGTCCTCGTCGTAAATTATTGGGGAATTTTCAGGCAGATTCGCTGTTTGGTTAAAAATGATCAGATTTTGGCCTGGACCACCAAAAAACGATCTTCCTTTCCCTCTTTGATGAGTTTCTCTTTTGACCATACGGTGCCGGCAGATATTTTTGGCTGCATACACAGGTTATAAATAGTTATCCATAAGCCTAATTAAACTTATTTTATTTAGTGATTTTCTTACTTTCTTTGTGAATGTCGACACACTGTACGGGTTCAACCAAGACATGCTCAACCCCTGAGCAGCCATGGGTAATCGCTGAGAAGGTCTGCAAACCGGAAGTTGTTGGAGCAAAAAAGCAATAAGAATTTAGCCTGGGTTTGAAACAGAGTGCTCTTCCACTTTCTCCCAAGAACAACCACTCGGACCCCGTGATGATGAGATCGTTTGGCGACAATACTACCGATTTAATAGGATTTCCAGAAATAGGGCTGAATTCGCCATTACTCTTTTGCACAATCAACTCATTTTTATCCTTCAGAATCCGGATGGCTTGAGTTAGCTATTGTAAAAAAACGAATGTTAGCAAAAGCATGAAACACAAAACTTGACTCAATAAATAATTAATTTTGCCTGAGAGTTTGACGTATGAAAGCAATATTGGTTTTCTCCTCCTACAAGGCGGACGTCTCTGCATGTATTTCCATAAAACTTCCATCTAAATTGTTATCAACCTTATCTATCACTGCATTCTGTATTACTACGTACAATATGAATAATAATTGAGAAAGTCTTACAAGCCACTAATGCATGCGCAATCAAAATTTCTTGGATAATCAAATTTTACACTGCAGTCATAGCTGAACTGAATTGAATCTTCATAAAATGTGCTTGTTCCGGATATACCACAAAATATAAAATTAAACAAGAAAAGGGGACTTATTCTAAAATTCATAATGTTTAAGTTATAAATTTAACACTGATCGAAGTCTGTGTGACGGTTTTTTATACAAGTGTTAAGCTTATGCATAGTTTGTGATTAATGCTATTGTATAATTCATAAAATCGAAAGTCGGATTACAAATTTATAAACAATACAACTTTCTCAAAAATATTTCGCATTTTTATTATAGGTTCATCAATTATATTTAACCCTGACTTTTGTCATGTATCTAATTCGCTCATAAAGACTGAACAATCAAAATTGCAAGAAAAAAACATGAAATATGGCCAAAATACATACATAAATAAATAAAAACACTAGAAAATAGCATATTATTCTCCTTCGACTGTCGATAGTGTCGACCAATTGCCCCATTTAAATATCATTTTTTGTAAACTATGATCTACTCAATGTTCAAAGTTTTACTGTCATCGATAGTTAGTTTCAGCTAATTTTTCTGATTTAAATTTCTGTAGATATTACGAGTTTCCGACATTTTACAGACTATATGACCGTAGTCATTCATTGCATAATGCATAGTGCATACTTCATGAATTAAAGTTCTCTGATTATGATGTGCTTTGAAAGCATTCAGTATATTCATGTTCATACTCATGACTTTTTTTGACAATCAACGTTTAACCAATATGAATAATAACTACTCTAAATAAGCCTGTGTAATTGTTATTTCGTTATATTGTTTCTTGCCTGCACTTATGCAATAATTTCCTAAGGAATGCATACATATATCAACTGACGAACTATAGAATCTAGCTATCCAAGTAACTACATACCATGTCTACAGAATACTTGCTTGTTGTAATGCATACTATTGCAGACCTGCATAGCTTGCCATACACAATTCGTAATAATAAATAGGTAATCAATCTAGTTATGTAGCAGCAGCCTTGACGTGAACGCTACCCAACCTAGAATCCCCAAGAACATTTTTGTTTAAACATTTCGTTAGCCACTTGTTGATAATTTTTGCTTGGCTCATCAGCAGTAAGAATCAACACTTAGGCATTTCCTTAATGCCAACGAATGATAGAAGTATTCAGCAACGCAATCTCTGCGCTTTAAAATGTTCATGCCTGCGCATGCAAAAATTTGGGAATGAATAAAAAGATATTTATTACACGTTGGGATACTCTCGCACTAATTCTTTTGCATGACTTGACAAATTTGCACCGCACCACCTTCCCATCCACAAGCATTGTATAATAATGACGGCATACACAAGCATGGCATGGGGGGTTAGATGGACCAATTTAAGAAGGCAGGCGGACACCTCATTTGTCGTTGTCTAATGCATTTACAATCGCTGAGAGTAAATAAACAATTCAATAGTTAGTTCCATTAGTGGTACACATTTAGCTCTAAACGGACTTTCAGTTATCTACTTTACTTTCTGGTCAAGGATGTAGCTACTTATGCAATTTGCGTTCAACTGAACTCATTATCAGTATTCTGTTGTACAACTCGCAGGATTCAGGTGTGCAAAATTCGAGAAATACGCACAAATCAGTTGTATCAAAATGACAGATACACGTGACTTGACAAAACTGTATAGCAACGCTCAAGAGACCAAGATTCCAGAACTAGTTCCAATTGAAGGACAAATACCAGACTATGTTAACGGAACATATTTAAAAGTTGGTCCTGGAAAATACCATTTCGAAAATGGGTTCTCAGTTAATCACTTCTTTGACGCTTATTCATCTCTGGCTCAATTTGTAATTCGTAACGGATCCACCGTAAAGTTTCAGAACAAATATTTGGAAACGGACGTCTTTAGAAGAGCAAATGCGGCAAAAGGGTCCGTTGTTTGTGAGTTCGGGACTGGTGCTATACCCGACCCAAGCAAGGGATGGTTGTCGAGATGCATCCCACAAGTGGTGAGCCATTATTCGCTGCAATTTGCAAGTCAAAAGAGTTACTCATTTTCTGTTGTAATAAATTGATTTGTACTAATTATATTTTCAGATTCCAGAAATGTAAGTACCGTACGGTGCAGTATATTATTCATGAATTTCATTTCAAGACTGGAATAAATAACTTTGTTCATACAGGTCAGACAACCACAACATGGCATTGTACCAAATAGGAACAAATATATGCGTTGCAGGAGAGACCTGTTTTTTTCGCGACTTGGACGCAATAAATATTCAACTGGGCGATAAACATGACACAAACAAGTGTTATGGACTTAACTTTGTCTCTCCACATCTTCTTACGGACGATAAGACTGGAGTCACATACACTGTTGGATCATCTTTTACAACCGGGTTGAAGTACAATTTCGTGAGAATTCCACCAATGACTGGAAAACCTTCAACAAAGGAGATGCTGAAAAAGGCTCAAATCTTTTCTACAATTTCCAGCCAAGTTTCCACCTTACTTTCCATGCACCATAGTTTTGGGATGACATCCAATTATCTTGTATTACATATTATATTTTATTACATGTATCTTCTATGTTATTATACCATATCTTATTTTATATTATTATAGGTATTTGTGGAGCAGCCGTATGTTCTCAACGTGACTAAGATTCTGGGAGGGATACTCACAAAAGGTCAATGCTTCATGGACTGGTTGGAATGGCGTGGAGAGTTAAGAAACAGATTTTATCTAATTGACAAACAGTCAGGGAAAGTGCACAAAACGGATTTCGTTACTCAAGATCCCTTCATGTTTACACATTTTATCAACTGCTATGAAGACGATGGACATGTCGTGTGCGATATGCTGGCATTCGACAACGGAGATTTCTTTGATGCAAACAATGTCAAAAAACTATTGTCCAATGATCCCATCAGAGACTCGAATTTTGCTCGGGCAGAACGATTTGTAATCCCGTTGTTGGAAAATGCCAACGATATTATTGACCAAAAGGAACTGGTCACGCTGGAATACACCACTGCAAGTGTAATGAAAATGGGCAAGAAGTTTGTAATGAAACCAGAAATATTGACAACCAAAGGGCTGGAGCTTCCGTGCTTGAATAAAAAGTTTATTGGCAAAAAATATAAATTTTTCTACGTGACCGGAAATACTTCTCCTTGCGGATATTTTGAAAACTCTCTGGTAAAAATGGATTTGGAGACAAAGGAGCTGAAAGTGTGGCAGGGAAGTACGGAAGAATATCCAGGAGAACCAATGTTTATACCAAATCCTTCTGCAAACGAGGATGACGAGGACAATGGTGTTATCTTGTCGGTGGTTATTAACTCCAGAATGGAGGAAAAGGATTATTTGCTTTTCGTTGATTCCAAGACATTCAAAGAGATTGGTAGGGCTAACTTTTCGCAATCGAAGGTTCCATTTTTAATTCATGGAATTTATCTACCAGAATGACTTTTAACTTAAAATCCTGACAGATACGTGAACTATATATCGTTTAATTGTATACTATATAAACCATATCATATAATCAAAATCAATAAAAGCAAAGGTAAACAGTAAGCACCAGTGGTGATGAGGTTCATTGGGAAATTTGTATTTTGTATGATTATAAATTCGCATCATCGTGAGATTTATATGATTCGATAGAACCTAATATTCGTTTTGAACGCATGTTTTATGTGAAGTAATAATTGGAAATAAGCATTGACTTTATTGAGGGCAAACATAAATGATCATAAGCCCTAACTCAGGCTTAAAATAAAAATCATAGCTAGCCCTGGTAACGAAAAGACCGAGGAGAAAAAAATCGATCGATATGATAAATTCCAGGATTATTTGACATTTACAAGTAAGTAGGGCCTTAGTTACTTTCCCTGAGGGAATGTCAAACAATTGTGGCAACACTCTTCTCCTGAAAGTCAGAGCGCATTTAGTATTCATTATATATTACACACGCATCTTTTAGATTTCACTGCTCACTAAAATGTCTGACGTTGAGGAACAAGAAGATGAAATTCAATCAAATGAAGAAGAAGTCTCAGATGTGCTATTTGAACAAGATGCACTCATCATCCAAGATGATATTGACATAATTTCCGGCGGTGACGACGATGCAAATGATAACCTAGTTTTGGCTGAGGCTGATTTTGTGAGCACCATGCATTTCAATGAATAATTAATAACATACTATAATAAGAGTCATCAGTAACAGCTTACAAATCTTGGTTAAGGACGGAAAATCAGCGTTACGTGGTTTTGGGTACAACCTTTTAGCAAATGAAGATGGGTCGCTCAAATATCCTGAAGTGCATTTGGACAAGGAAATGATTAGAACTGGGTTGTCGCATATTGCTCGTACGCTGGACACCTTCGAGTTTGCTTATAGTCGATATGATGGTCGAAATAGGTGAGATACAACTCGAGTACCAACATTCTACGCGAATAATAACTTGACATGCAATCTGTCTAGGGCTCTTACAGAAATTGATATTCTGGGACAATATGTTCACCTAAGAGCTGTTGACTTGAGCGGAAACAGAATCAAAAGCTTCAAAAGGTTGCATATTAATAATGAGACATTTATATGGATTCAGTCAGTTTGGCAAAAAAAAATAATTTATCTTTCAACAGTTTGGCTCCAATGAAACATCTCCTTGTTCTTCTTGTGAATGATAATCAGATGATATCCCTCGAGGAAATACCTCATCTTCCATTTTTGCAGGTACATGCACATATTTCCCTTGTAAAGTACACGAGAAGTTGTGTAAGACTAATTATTACGGAACATACCGCTTGTAGGCATTAAGTGCTAAACGAAATGGATTAAAAAGTGCACAAGGTCTCTTTTCAAACTCATTGACACATTTACAACTTTCGTGTGAGTCTCAATAAAACTTCACAATATATTTTTATGTTGACCGTGAGAAATACACAATTATCTATTATCTTATGCACGATGAAGTCAACAAAATTTCAAACTTGATCCCGTTCGACGATGCAACATTTCCCAATCTCACAGTTTTAGAACTTCGTGGAAATAATTTGCAATCTTTAAATGGACTCAACGTTCCAACTCTCATTCGGCTTTTTGTGGTAAAATGCAAATTGTTCCCTCTTGAATAAGCATGGTTAAAAATAGATTTAAAATATATAGGCACAGAATAAGCTTAAAAATTTGAACGGATTAAAAACATGTACAAATCTAACTCATTTGCATGCACGAGACAATGTAATTTCTACACTTGAAAATTTTCCTCGTTTGGAGAAGTTGGAGTATGTTAATTTGCGGTAATATGAATTCTGAAAACCTAAAATATCAACTAAAATTTAAAAAGTTGGCAAAAATGCTCAAAATTTCGATTCATATTCAGGAACAATTTGCTGAAACGATTCTCACAAACGCAATTCTTGGGAAACTCTCCCAATATCCGAACTCTAATCGCAATGGGAAATCCTGTTGCTGAATTAGATGACTACAAGTAAGTACTTATTATTATTTTTATTATAAGTCAAATTTCTTTAATTTGACCTAATTTGCATTGCCATAGGATGGAGATGATTGCTGCGAATCCTAACTTGAAGCGCCTGGACAAGCAGCCGATCACGGAAATTGACTTGGTTCAAGGTCGTCAGATTCGAAGTGGACGAGAAAAGGGGATACTTCCGCCGGTCAACGATGACAGCGAAGTTTTGACACCACCCATGCCGAGCATGGAAGATACCATGGCCGAAGAGGATGAGGAGGACGAAGATGACGACGACAACGACGACGGGTCCCCGCCACCAGAAGACCCAGAGGATCAAGATAAAGATCAAGAACCACCTCCACGCTCATCCGGCGGCCCTGAGATGGATGTCGAGATCAGAAAAGCGTCCACATAGAGTTGACACATTTGACCCCGTGTGCATATTTTTTTATAATTAATTCCAGTTGTAGAAAGACATTTCACAGCAAATAAATGTTGCTTATATTTTCACTGGGTAATATGGGCATGGTCTTTTTACCCCTTCTTTGTTGACCTAATTTAGTATTGAGGAACTTTTAAATAAATATCTTTTTAGGCCGGTTGTAAGGTCAAACAAATAATAATTTGTGTACACACGTCATGAACAGTTAAACTTTGCTTTGTGTACTTTACTTATCTCAACAGAGTCAGTCCTGTTCAACAGAATTCTGGTCTTCACGTTGTAGAAACCAACTGGCATTTAGCATGTTAAAGTTGATGTAAGTTCGGTACAAAAATTAGGTAGAAAGCAAAAGTATATGTAAAAGCAGTACTTCACACTTTATAGAGCTCTGTCAAGACATATCTGCTACGGCTGCTTGGTAAAGATGTCCCCAATGAATTCACAAGTCACAAATTTCTGTACCGAATCGTCTGAAGATGGTGCTAGTAAAACAAAGGACCATTTGACCGTATAAATAATTTAAATATACGATTATGCCATAAGAATAGTTTACATGTTGTGTGTAAATATTAAATATGTATAGGTGACATCCCTGCAATCTCGGGATCCTGATACTCACGATGTCGCTGTCACCAAGATGTCCATGATATCTCCCACTGTGAAGCATTTGGTCCTCAGCACATCAGAGCGGCCTGTGCCGTTCAGTTTTAAAGCTGGACAATGGTGAGACATGTTGTAACTGATTATAAGTTAGTTTTTAGCAATTGATACACTACTTATTTTCGAAACGTGTATCAGGATCGATATGCATATACCAGGAGTCGATACAGTGGGTGGATTCTCAATCACCTCGAGTCCCATGCATTTACGGAGAACGGGTGACATTCACTTGGCTGTCAAGAATTCAGAAAGTCCTCCGTCAATGTGGGTACATACAAAGGTATACAAAATTAAATTAATCAGTCAGAAATACAATCTAATGATAAAAATGATTGTTGTATAGTGTCAAGTAGGGATCAGCGTATCTATACGAGTGGGAGGTGATTTCTTCCTTCCTCCTTTGGATCAGTTCACGATGCCTACAAGGATTTTATTTATCGCCGGAGGAGGTATTTTAAAAAATGTTCCACTAAAGGTGTGAAGAATATTAACAAACTTGTTTTATCGCTGATTGACTTTTAACTCAGTTGGAATCAATCCGTTATCATCAATGATCATGGAAATCAGAGATAATATTACTCGTTCAACAATTGGAGCCTGGAAGCAGTTGAACGTGACGCTCCTTTTTAGTGCGAAAACACACGAGGAATTGATCTTTCGAGTAATAAGATTATTGGACTTGGTCATTAATTGACATTAATTCACACGCATAAAATTTCAGGAAGAATTCGATGCTATCAAGGCCCCTTGGTTCAAGCCAATCTATTTTCTCACTTCATCGGATAAAGGCTATTCTTCGTCTTCGTCGGTCAAGTGTAAGTGGAATTTTGGGACCAATATATTTGCAGCAACAATTAAAATTAATATTTTTCCTCAGATGGCAGAATTCAAATCCAAGATGTACTTGCAGTCCTCCAACAAGATGATAGGTCTAAGGGTCCTAACACGAACAAAGCCTTGAATCAATGCCACGTTTATTTATGCGGACCACCAGATATGACAAATACCTTACAGCATTGTCTAAAAGACATGGGCGTTGAAAATATATTTTTTGAAAAATGGTGGTAATAAAACAACAGAGAACTTTTAAAATTGGTATTAGTCATTGCGAAAACTTTATTTGAGGAGAAAAAATATCCACTCAATGAATCATACATATATCCAATCATCCAGATATTGTAACTTACCTGTTTTGTTCAAGGGTAAAAAAGTATGTATTTTCTCATGCCAAGTTTTTGTTGAGCTGAAAACTTTGCGAAGACAAAAAACTTTCGAAACACAAGCATACAAAATAGCGCAACGTGATAAAACCTAGACGGATATGACTTGAGGTTACGTAGAAGTGTAAACCCATATAAAAAAATCTTTGGAAAAAGTTGAGCTAATTACCAAATTATTAGGAAGGCGAGTTTTGTTTTTGTACGTCCGAACGTTATGAAGGTTTCAATTCAGATGATGAAGAAAGATGCAATGAGTGTCATACTGTTCTTATTATACGATACGAAGGATTTGCGATTTTATAACCCCACTCCTAACTTGCAATTTCAATCTTCTAAAATTCTTTTCCGGTGAACTCACTTCATTTTTCTTTTCTGTACTTTGTAAATTGAAATTTCTTTACTTCTCATCCCAAGACTGAAAACCCGGCTTGAGTGTGTGCAATTCTTTATCGCTCTCCAAATTTTCAACATTCTTCCCAATTCTTAAGTGGCTTGTTCAGAATTCTTTCGATCAGCATTAATTCTTACTTGAACGAAGCCCTTGATAATCAAAATAAACAAACATGTTAGCTTAAGTTACATAACCTAATAAGTTTTCTAATAACAGATTTATTCTTAGAATTCCAACATTAACAAAATCTCGTAGTTATTTTTTTACGTAATATTGAGAAGCAGTTACGCCATATATATGTGACATACTATAGTAAAAACCTAAATACCATTTACGTCAGGTGGGAAACCTTTTTTAAATGTAAGACCGGCAATCTACTCCATATTTAAATGACGCCTCGGTTTCCTCCAAGTAGTAATAATAATAAAGCCGTTAGTGTCGCTGCCAAGCTAATCTGACATATACATCGATCAATAGATCAAACTAATCTCTATTTTTTGGAATATGTACAGCAGATATGAAAACTACTGATTAAAAAATTACACATTTTCAATTTTGAAAAATCAGTTGTGTAACTGACAACACCACCATCCGCACAACGACCTTTTACTATATATAATTCTATCTTGCTCACATAAAAAATTTAGTGTATCAAACAATAATAAGAAGATTGATAATAATAGTTGTCCTTCCTTGTTAAAATTGAAGTGAATGTACTAACAGGAAAAGACACCATGCTAATGACTATTCATAAAAAAAGCAAATTCGTAAAGTTTTAAATTTTAGGACATCAAAAAATGAATAAGATAATGAATAAGATAAGAACGAATAAGCTTTACAATTAAAACAGACATTCTAAAAGAAATTTAAGAAATGTTTCTATTTATATACCAATTCATTAGAAACGGAAAATCCATTCCACTCGTGTGCATCAAGATATCCATTCAATATGTTCCGTTTTTATTACCAATTGATTTTAGTAACGTCCCCCTAAAAAACGAAAATTTTCAATTTCTGTCTTGTCCTTTATGCAAACAAATAGCAAATTGCTGTGTATTCATGTACTAACGTGGGCTGTATTCACGAGATCGTGATCGAGAGTATCTGCCTCTGCGACGATAATATGGAGAAGGAGATCGACGGTTATAACCCCGGTTATACTCCTCTCGGCGTCCCCCACGACTGCGTCTGTCAACACTATTGAAAGAAAATAAACCCATACAATGATTGATAAGTAAGGTTTGTAGATAATGAATATATAAATCTATTTTTCATACGAATCATCATACGTGGGCTTTCCCATGTATATTCCGGGTGTTGGAGTGTGGGCTCGCTGAGTAATCGAGAAATCTACACGAATTCGTCGACCATCAATTTCAATCCCATTACAACTCTCTTTTGCTGCTTTTGCATCCTCCATGCTCTCAAAATAAATGAAAGCAAACCCACGTGAACGACCAGTCTGAAAAACATATTTTATATTAGTATGTAGAAACATTCAAATAAAATCAAACAAGACAAGTGCACGACATACCTGAGCATCAATAACCACAGTGCATTCATCTATGGGACCGTATCTTGAGAAGACTTCTTTTAAATCGCGTTCTGTAGTTCGAAGACTGAGACCGAAGACTCCCTATATAGATGAATGTATGTAATATATATCAAAACATATCAACTACAAATAACTACAAAAGCAGAGAATAAGGAGGTTTTGATCAGGGAAGAACTGGATCGAACTATGGACATTGAATTCCACTTATTCCCATCTTACAAGATCTCCTTCCTCCCCAATTTGGAAAAGTATGACCACCACATTGATAAACTTTGAAGCAAAGCAGCCAAACTAAAACTTTTGAAATATTTATTTACTTACCAAGCATTTATTTGGTTGAGGATCATCCTTCAAAGAAACGGCCATTTTCTTTCGGTTAGGACGTTTATAAATCGAATTGAGGTAAATTGGTCAACTAAAGTATTGAAAATATTTATAAACTTACCCGGCCTCCATCTTGTCGCCGACGACCAGACATTGGACTCCGTGAACGGCTTCTAGCGCCACCACCACCACCACCGCCGCCTCCCCTAAAAATAATAATTGCAAATTAGCTGAAACTCACCATTCAATAGTCAATTCCTCTGATTATAGCAACACGTGTCGATTCTTACTCTACTAACCTTGATCTGGATCGTGACCTATAACCCCGACGATAATTTTTCCTTTCGCGTCCTCTCGAGTGACTTCTTGAACGGCTGTACCGATGTTGTTCTCGATGACTTCCAGAGCGATCATGTCGCACTGGACCTGGACTCCCTCCCATTCTGGGTGAGATACTGCCCCGTCCACCCATCATTTCCTAAGAAAGAAACAGGTTCAGTATAGTTTATTAAATCGTTTCGGTATGGCTTGACTAACAATAAAACTACGTCATTGTTTATATTTAAAATTCAACGAAAACGATAATCATTTCCGCATTGCACATTATACAATTTAAAAAGCATTTCACTATCAATAAATCTTTGACGATAATATTATATAATCAAGCGTGAATAATTTATCGTACCCGTCTATCTCCGTTCATTGAAACTCAGATGATAATTTCAAGCGTTGATAACCCAACCCCCCACAATATAATGATTAGCACTGTAATTGAATCCTTTTCAGGCGTTCCTTTTATCCCTGAAAATTTATGAAATTGAAGCTGAATAAATCATTTGCGTAGTATGACCATGAATCAAACTTCAATGCACAATAAAAAATCCAACTGCAAATTTTACTGAATCGTGATTTTTCAAAATCACAACCACGCCAAATCTCCACCCTTGCACATGGCACTGAATACTGAATCAAGATATGAAACGAAACCGCTACTTTACGAGGACAACTATAATTACTTGGTTAATTTGTTAAGAGCTTATCTTACCTGAGGCAGCGATGAAGAAAACTGAGCGAGGAGAAAAGGACAAAAATGGGAGAGAAGGAGAATAACCCTTTTCAGGTTTCTCTTGGCTGGAGACGCAAAAATATGCTTCGAGCTTTGTGTGAGCCGGCGGAGCGGGATCTCTGAACTTCGAACGCCTCTTTGTCAGAGAAGGTGGCGCTGACTGCCGGTCGACAGTTCGCCTACCAACCAACCATCGAATCCTCTCATCAATTTACTGCTACTCCTTTCTTTCGCTTTCTCCAGAATCCTAGCTAATCTTAAGCCTTCCTTTCTCCATCTCAAATTATCGCAAGATCAAAAAAATTCTGGCCAATTTACTAAAGACGAGTGATTTCATCATTTAATAAAGTGCTGGGTCACTGGGGACTAGGCTGGATGATTCTTGGCATGAGTGTGCTGAAAGGAAGGTTATCTTGCTTTCTAGCCCGCATGAGTTGTCAAGATGTCGGTGAAAGTATTCCCAAATCCCACAAGTAGCAAGGCAAGTGAGCGATTTAATCAGGAGAGATTTCTCTACTGGTTCCTTTCTTCTTCGTATTGGGCGGGGCGGGATGAGAACCATGGAGAAAGTTTGGAAGAGGTGGTCCTGTGGTGAAAGTCGTCACTTTTCATGATGAAAATCGTATGCACAGCTCCAGTCAAGTCAAGGAGAGATGGGGCTTACTAATTGGTGTATAGATTAACTTCCTGACTGGTGACATGAAAAGTGACGTGCTGTAGTTTTTGTATGATGGGATGTTTAAGCAAAATTGATTGTCATGCTGTCGTCCCATCCTGAATACATTTGTAGTCCAAGAGAATCTCTCTCTCTTGCATGTCAAGGTCACTATATATTCGCATGTTTTGGTGTGCAGCCCGCATAGCAGGGAAGTAAATCACCATGTCTTTCCATCATCATCATTCTCTGGGGGGAAGAGACTTTAGGCTTTTGCTGATGGAATTGAATTAGACTCAATTTGTGGATGCAGGTTGAAACTGTAGCTGTGTGTGTATGTAGGTAGGTAGGCTGGGAGGAGGGTTGAACATGAGAACATTTCAGGTTAACATAGGGACGTAGGGATACGGCCAAGATAGATAATAAGGCTAATGAGTCACATATTGAACATGTCTCTAGCGTTGTACATCCATTCACATGTGCCTTGCTTTCCCACATGATACACCAGTCAGTAGTTTGAATTCTCAGGAAAAGGAGAGCGGAAACACGGAAATATTTTATTTATGGCTCTCTGCTTCTAAAAAGAACATGCAAATGGAGAGAGAAAATATACGATCCTAATACACTTTTATGAGTCTGTATGAGATTGGGCGCTTCTGCGATGAGAGGTTGATGGAGCTTAAAAATCACGAAATGCGGACCAAGTGGATAGAGCAAGAAAGGACTTGGAGAGTGGTTCTCGTGCAGTGGGAGGATTTATTTTTGATCAGAAGGATCTGCGTGAGATGTAGATGGAGAAATTATTTTGTTATATAAGAGACACGTGTGTCCATCCCCCCGTCTCCATACATAAGCTGTATTTACAGGGTGCACAGTTTATTTATGATGTCATGTACATAAACCTGCAGCCCTGATATATTTATATCCTCCACATTGATATTCCTTTTGTAAATCATGCTATATTTTATTCGACACCTTTCACCCAGAGTAAAAAGAAGCCTCGTAAATTTTTTGATGTGAAATTTATTTGCAATAGATGGATGAGTCCTATAGTAAGTACTTGTCTGAATGCAGGCCCTAGTCCGCTGATTAACAAACCATGATACAGAGAGCGAGGGAGGTGGCATTACATGATAGAGATGCATTCCCAAGCAAGGAGAAAGAGAAAGTAGTCTCTGAGCATGGGAATGAACTTCACCAGAACCAGGTCCAGGTGGGTGAGAGTGAGTGAGTTTTGGCCATAAAGCACTTTCCCACCAAAGAGAGACTCTGTTTGACGACGCCTGAAATCCTTTTCGCATGGACTCTTGGTCGTGGTTAGTTGGACGAAGAAGGAAAGTCTGGCTCCTAGTTTCACCAGCCAGTCAGTCAGTAGTGCTTTCCACTGGGTCGAAGAACAGACTCTCTCACCACTTTCTCCTCCTGCCTCGATCTCCACCACCAGACTTTCTCCACGAGTTTCACCCTGGCTCGATCTTCTCCTCTGTCTGCAGTGATATGTAGGAGCTTGGAGCAACAGTAAGGAGGCTGTGTCTCCAGTTCTTCTGTCGTGCTCTCAGTGGTTTCATGGTTTCGTCGGATTACTCAAAACAGAGAATAACACTTGCGAAAAACTCGATAATACACTGTGGACACAGTCTTATTCGATGTTGCTAACTTAATTACTTGCTGCTATTCCTGCACAACAGTGGCAAACCACCATGGGTACTTAAGGAAGACAGTTTATGCAGCCGGTGGACATTGACGGGGTCAAAGAAGAAATAACGAGGTTTACTATGAAAAATATTTTCCCATTGTTATAACGTTGAGTACGTGTTTGGTGGTTTGGTGTGCATCGGTTCGAGTTTGAGAAATGCATTTTTTGCAGTATAAAGTGACCGTGGTAGGTGAGTAACACGATGACGCCGGGTGGAGCGGACATTCGGTGTAAATTGTGACAATAACTGTGAAAATGTGAAAGCAAATATTTTGTGTTCGTTTTAGTTCAAAGTTCGCGGAGGTGAACGATAAGCATGCACATAACAAATAACAATTATGATTGGGAAGGTACCTCTTCGGATGGGAGTTCCTTATCCCAAAAAGCTGCTGTTATGTTAAAGTGAAAGTTCAGCCGAATGTAAACAATTTCTCCAACATGACCCACGAACTTTGGTACTTCAGCATTGACAGACGGTAATTTTGTAGCATTTTGTATCAGCATGGAAGGTTGGTGATTCGATCATAATGCTTCGTATACAATTTTGAGTTCAATTTATGCAAGTCATACTAATGACTCATTCATTTGACTCTGGAGATTCATCTCAAACTTATTAATCGGGATAATCCGTTTCCTCCATTTGATTTTTTTCGATTTGCACACTGAAGATTTCTTTTGGTATTTGTTCCTCCTACTCTCATCATTTAGATTCTTATAAAAAAAATCCAGATTCAAAAAGTGTCGAAATTTCTGTATAGACATTTACGTCTATCCAGATCTATGTATGTTAGAATTTACCAAGAGCCAAAATGTATCAACTTGTTGTTCGTTGTTCATAATCAGATTGGTTCACATTTCAGTCACGATTGAATATCTCTTTCTACTTCACGTATAGTGCTCAGATTGAACAAAAAGCTCATTAAACTTGGCAATAATTATGTTAGTTCGTGTAGTAGATCAACAAACTCCAATTTATGCTTCATAATACTATGCATATTATCACCTAGTCATGCAGAAGCTATACTTGAAGTGAGTTAGTTATGTGCTGTGCGAATGGAGCTAAACTCACGAGAAACCCTAGTCTCAGCACAAGGTACTTCAGGAGGCCGTAGGTTTAAGCTCCACCCGCACAGTACATAACTCGTTCACTTTATGTATAGTAAACAGAGTCCACTTAACAGGCACGACGGATGATCCTCATTCGTCTCACTAGGATTAATAAGCCATGAGATGGCGAGTCCTCAATAGATGCATCAGGGATTTCAATTCCAGATGGAGTCTCTTCTTTGATATTTCCATATAAAAACAAGTGCATAGTGCACCATAAAAGCGGACAGTGAAAAATAGACGCGAAAGTTACAATTTATGTGAGTGTTTTCTCACAAAAAGGAAATATCGATTTACTTTTTAGGAGAAGTAACTTTCTCCTCACATTTGAACACCATTTCAACTTGTTGCTCATTGAAACACACGACGGCAAAGAAGAGTAATGCATAAAAACGGCTGCTGCTGCTGCTGCTGCCCAATTTCCTCTTGACTTTTGTCAACGATGCTGCCATGCTGCACGGTATCATCATAAACACGTTTTTTATGTTTCCTCTTGTTGATTTACTTATCGTGACAACAGTGGGTGACTTTGGTTTTTGTCATTCCTGATTGTTGGTCAGGAAACTCTTGTACCGATTCATCAGCATGCTTGACATATGTCGGTTCTGGAGAAAGCATTTTCTTCGAATGAATAAAACTATTCTTATATTTTTCAGACCGGCTGACAGAACTGTGCAAGATATTGCTGTGATTGTATCGTATTTGAGACATTTGGCAGCTCTCACTGGTAAAAACATATACGTGAATAGTATGAGCGACGCCTATAATATTATAAAAAATATGCACAGGAGTACCACCACTATTGCTCAGCCAATTAGCCAGCGTCGCCTACTTGGAACAGCTTGACTCTGGCGTTACATGTAAGAAAACATTGTTACCCTCAAATTGCATGTATGTACTTCTCTTTATATACAAAGGAATAGGAAGTCGTCAGACGCAATCACAATTTGAATGTGAATTTAAAATATACAAGCCTCAATTTTGGTCGTTCAAACCATTTAAATTGAATAGGAGCCAATTTAAAGTCAACAATACAACACTTAAATCTCTCAATTTATTTCGATGACGGGGGTCTGAAAATTTAGAACTTGTCGGGGGAAATTTTCTAGCCTCATGAAGGTCTGATTTATTTAGGGTTAACAGCAGTAGGTAACCCGGATTTGAACATATTTATATCTCGAAAGAAACATTTTGACCCATCACAACGCAATACATAGATTGAGAAATATTTTCTGTTCTGTATTCCTCTGCCTGGAAAAAAGTGAAAGTCCCTGATTAAGCAAGGATAATAAGTTTTCGATAATCGTACCTCCGGTAAATATGTCTGTATGTAGTCGTTTAGGATACGCTTCCTAACAAATCCCTGCTCCTCCGATAGTGGACCACTAATTATACATCGTATTATACTTGTCCTTAGTACGTATAACAAACCTGAAGGTTTCTCCGCCGACCATGCATACATATTTTACTACTGAAATTAAGTAACTTGACCTCAAAATAATTGGCCTGGGTTTTCCAGGTGAAACTTTTTTGCACTAGACGGCAAATATGTAAAAGCCTATCGACTTTGTCATTCGCTCCTATGATAGTAATCCTCGGGCTCTTATGGCCACTCAGCGAGTATATCTCTCGGATTTTGCGTCTTTCAAATTGTGTGATATATCGTTATCCTCTAATTGG